GTCACAATGCACTAAGACAATGGGCTAAGACAATGGATGTGCGCAGTGTGTAGAGGATGCATCACCTCGACAACTTGAGCAATATGACGTCCAGGGGCGGCGGAGTGACTTCCAAAGCGGGGGGCAGCACCAACAAAAAGGGCACTTGCTGGAATTGTATCATTGTTAAAAGTAAAATTATCAGAGGTGAAAAGGGTCACATATCGCACCTGAAAAGGGGCATCGAACATATTTTTAAAGGGGCACTTATGAGAATGAAAAAGAGGCACCGATAATTTTGTTAATAGGGGCACCTCTCAGATCTAAATAGGGCAATTATCAGAGGTGAAGGGGCACTTCTCGTACCTGAAAAGGAGCACTTACTAGAGATTTAAAAGGGCACTTATAACAATGGAAAATTGACACTTATTGCCAAGGAAAATGGAAACTTGTCAAAGGAAAAGGGGCGCGTCTCAAAATTAAAGGGGCACTTATCAGAGGTGAAAAGGGGAAGGGGCACTTTTCCTATGGAAAAAGGGGCACTTCTTACAAAGTTAAAAGGGAACTTTCCTATATAAAAAGGGGCATTTGAAAAAGGGGGCACTGTACCCCCCCCCCAACTCTTTCTCCCTATCTCCATTTCTCTCTCTCTCTCTCTCTCTCTCTCTCTCACATACACACACACACTATATCACATCACTGTCTATTTCTCTCACCATTAAATTGTTCTTTCTCATTTGGTTCCCTTTCTCTTTTACTCTATCTCTCTCTCTCTCTCTTGCTCGCTCTCTGTTCTCTCACTGTTCTATATCAAGACGTTTTCCATGTATAATTCAATGAACCCAACAGTATGCACACTTAAAATTAAAAGATAGGAAAGGAATATTGTATATAACACATCAACAATTATGTTCAATTTATTTATTTACTTAAAACAGAAAAGATTGTAATTCACGATGAATACGATTATAAAATTGAAGGTCAAATATTAAGCTCCAATAGCCTCATAATCTGCTACTTCAAACTAATAGAATTAAATGTTATGTACTTGTTACATTACTTTTTCCCATTTTTTTAAAACAAAGCATAGTCTACTTTTGAGCCGTGTTTCTTTTGCAGGGAATCTGTTATATAATGACTTGCACTATATTATAAAACACATTATAAAACATGACTTCTTAAATGATTCAAAATCACAATTTATCCAGTGAAACAATGAACATCTGATGTACATAAAAACATCCTTATGAGTGATGGTTGCTTTGTGGTTCACACACACACAACAAGGACATATCAGGCTTTTTATCAATGGTTGCTTGTTTGTTACCATAGCTTCATGTTATGAGGATTAAAATACAAAGGCTTTGATCCCCATGCAGTCACAGTTACAGCAGATGGAGTCTGGTTCATTGAAGAGGCTAAGTAGAATTTCATAGTCCTTGCAAGTATGTCTGTTGAATGAAAAGAGAAAAGAATGAATGGAAGCACATTGAAACCTATTTCTGTTAAACATTAAAAAGGTCTTGCATGTACATTGTGGTAAAAGTGGAGTGCATAATCAATTACATGAAAGTATTGATGGAAAAATGTGAATGAACAAATGCCATCCTTGAAGTACCTGGGCATACAAACAACAACTTATTCGTACAGCCTACCTGTCAGAAATTCAGCAGCTCAGTAGTTCTCCTTCCTCTCTCTGAATTTGTCTCAGTTATCAGGGAATTTGCCTTCATTCATTTTACTGAAGAAAAACATCATCCTGAAACAAAAATAAAAGGTTTAGACCTCATTAAAATATCAAAGATCTACTCCATTGATAATTGGTCTTCGTTATAGTGTCAATCATATTCTAAGTTTTCCAAAAAAAACTTAAGGCGCCTTTCATGTAGGCAGTGACTAGGCACCCCCTCCCCACTCAGTTACTAGTAATCATTGATTTACAGAATGACTACCGGTATCTCTTTCAAAGTCAAGAACAAACATACACATTCTTGCATTACTATCTCATAAATGTACTTGCACCAAGTTGTACTTGCCATGTCATGGCCTAAGAAAGCCCGAAGTAGTTAAATTCTATAGCCAATTTAGTCCCTTTCCTAAAATCAAGTCTAGAGGTCTACATCTTACTTAGATAACCAGCCGACAGTTGGCCTAACCTAGATGTAAACGCAGCCTGGAATGGAGATTTTACAAGGCCATAATCGTTAGAGCCCAACTTTTCCATTTAGTTCAATCTAACATTAGACCACAGATTGTCTTTGTTTATGTTATCTCCCAAAATGAGCTTCGTGAAAGGGGAAAAAGTAAAATGAAAATGTACTGCACTGTACTGTACTGCAGTCTGTAGGTCTCTAAGTGTTATATGGTCCAGAATTGTTAGTGGTAGGTTTAACGTTTCTTCTGACCCAAATTTGAAAGTAGTTAATCAACTGTTGATTATTTGTGTCTTATTTTCAGATAGTTCCGCCCAGAAGTCTAGGCCAAGCTGTCACTGTCAGGAGTGACTGGTAGCCATGGCAATCGAGCTGAAAATATTAGCTCGTGCCCATGTAAAATGAATAAAAGTTTGAGTGTAGATTGCACCTACATCCATCAGACAAAACAATTTTAAATTACTTCATAATGTACCTGTAGACACATCTGCAGATTCATAAATTCAGCAGATCTTTTTAATAAAAATTGTCTAAACATGACTTAGTTTACAAAATTTAGGCGTAATTACAGCTTTACTCACCAGCAGACTTTCCAAGAAAAATGGAGTATCTATTTTTCCTGTTCAGGAAATAACTGGTGTTGGGCCAACAATAGCAATGTTGGATGTGCACTCTGCAGGACTGCCTCTCTTGTTGAAGGAATTGAGATGTATTGCTCCAATCTCCTGGCAATGGCTATTGAGATGGACTTCACAAGGCGGGACACCGTAGCTTGGGAGAGGCCTTCTTTTTTTATCCCCATGCATCAATTGAAAAGAACCTGAAATAGCAGAAAATCAAGATGAAAAATATGTTAATATTTGATATCAAATTACAATTTCTCTTTCTCTGTAGTTTACTAACTTACTAATATTAGACTAAACTACTGTAACATTATCAGCAAATGTATGTCAAAAAAGGAAGTTTCTGTCCATTTCCTTTCAATATCTATTAGTCCTGTCTAGACTAGACTCTTCTTGATGAAATTTAGATCTAGACTAGGTCTAGTAATATTGTTTTAAAAACAATGTTTTCTTGGGGGGGGGGGTGGGTGGTTATGAAAATCATCATCATCATGAAGACAATTATCGCACCAACAGCCACAACTACTAGCACTGCAGCTCAGGCAGAGGTAATACCAGACCGATATTTCTGTCTCTTTCGTTCTTTAGCCTCTGATTTGGGTAGGGTCAGCTCCTGAAAGAGAAGAGCCGACCCTACCCAAATCAGAGGCGAAAATGACAGCTAGATCTAGATTTAGGCATAGATCTAGTGCTAGTCCACTTTTAGGCAACAGTGTCTCGAAAATCCACTATAAAAGTAGTTTCTACGTCTAGCAATGATAGTTTTAGGGTGGTGTTAAGGTGGTATATGCGTACGAAAGGACAATAATGCCAAGAAAAAGAATTACCTGGTAAGAAATTGCTCGATCTCAGGAAACGAAAATGTTAACCGACAATTATTTGCACGTATGGGACTGGTCTGCGAACACTGTGAACATTTACCAAGTTTCCTCCAAATTTATTCAGTTAAAAGCATTTTAGATTATCACCAGTACAGCAACATGAAAGTAACAAAAATACTTTATTAGCTGGTGTAACTTTCATGAGCGCTTATCCGATACAAAAGAGTGTAAATTGTTATCAAATATAGAAATTCAATGCAAAACTTACCGTTTACTCTCCGCGGACAGTCGATTTAACTAAAAAGTGACGTCACGCGAAGTTAGGCCGAACTATGACGTATTTAAACCTGCCCTCGACCCTCTGAGCGGCCTAAAGTTAGGCCGAACTATGACGTATTTAAGCCTGGCTTATCTTTAGGCCACCTTCGAGAATAGCAAAAAAGATAGTCCATGGTTTAAACCAAGTTTAGGCCACTGATTTAACTTAGGCCGCTTTCGAGAATACCACCCAATGTGTTTTTCTTGGGAGGGGTGGGGTAATTGACCTCAGGGGTAGATGTCCTTGTTTGTCCTTTTGTGTGGTTGATCTTGCTAAAACTCTTGCCTTAATACAATGTAATAAGATACGGGTGGATCCCATGCATTCAATTTGTGCAAGGGGTAATTTTCCGGGGAGGGGGGGGGGGGGGGCGGTAATTGCCCTAGAACCCTTTTCATGAAATGATTGTGAGAGGATGATATATTAGACTTGATAGAAAGAGTCTTTGAACTTAATTCATCGATTGATAAATCATGTTCTCGAAATTACTTCATTATTAATCATGAAAAGATTAAATCTTCAGCTCTGATAAAAAAATGAAACAAGCAAACAAACGAACATTGAAGGATTTTTAATGTAAACCAGACTTGTCACAAAACGTTTCTGAAAGATCAAATTACGAGTTAGTGAACTTCCATGTGCATTTTGTATGAAGGACGAATGATTGTTATCTCCTTCAAAAGTTGCCGCAATTAGAAATTGAATATGTTTCAAGTATGTAATCCATCATGAAAAAAAGAAATTCATTCATTGGTGTGAAAATTAAAACATGCCATATCTCTTTCTTCTGTAAAATCGGATGAATTGTTCAATAGAAATGGGTTACCTTTAACAGTGGTAAATAACCTAAACGTCATCCCGGAATGACAATGAAAATCCACACAACCGAAAATACTCCTGTCCACGTTGGAGCCCAAATATATAAATACATGAAATAATGGCCCTTTGTCCCAGTATGTACACCGTTGCGTAATAGTTGAACTCTCCTTTCGCAAACTCATTGACTATAATATATTCATTTTATGAAAGGCGGTAAGACAAGTGCAAACATCTTGTTTTACTTCTTTAGAACCGAGCGCGACATGATAGGGTACGTACTGTATGTTCCACTGCATCTACGCAGGCCACCGTGTTTTACTCTATCTCCAAAGTATATTTTCACTTTATCTCCAAATAAAAGGAACATCAGGAAATCCGAAGCGCGGAATCTGAATTGTTCCGTTTTCTCCCGAATGCTTCAATCTGAAACTTGGATACCCGCCTTTAATCCAGAACACAATAATGTTTTTCATGAGAGACAATTGACTGATTTTACAGGCGGGAATATGGTACCAGCAGATTATTCATCAAGCCATTGCATTTTCATATAAAACTGCGTTTTACCTACTTTTCATAGTCGAACTGTGGCGTTGCGGTCTATCCATAGTTTCCATCGTTACAGCGCCAATTAAAAGCTGTTTCTTATGGTAAACGCAATTGATAGCAATAATAAAGCTGAAGGCCATTCATGGATATCATCATAACGTAGGGTCAGGTGACAGCAGTGACACCTGTATGACGTAGAAGATTATGCATATTTCTCGATCATCATGCTGACGTGGTAGATCATTCTTAAGTTTCACACCGGTACATTAACCGATTGGGCATCAAGCAACATTCGGTAAGTATACTTACTTCTGTACTTTCCTGCTATATCTTGTTATTTAATTTCTTTCAATTATTGCTTCAACAATTATATTTAATATATATATATATTTACTTGAACCTGTTTCGATTATTATTTTGTAATTACATGTACTAGTATATTGATGATTATCCAAAACTATGTATTCACTTCTCCGTTTGTAATAATATTGATGTTTTTGTTAATATTGATGAATTTGTAATTTGTATTAGCTTCTCCTTTTCCGGTCTGTATCCACTTTTTAAAGAAAGTGAATATTAATTAATTGCATCTTGTCTTGACTTTCCATTGATACCCACTATCAATAAAGTTGATTAGTATGGCAAAAGATGAATTTCATTAATTCATTCGTTAAACATATTTTGATAATTTTGTATGTGGTGCTTGTATATTAAAGCAAATCGCAAGATTGTGGATTCGATTTCAATAACATTGATTTACTTTTCCATCAGACGTCTCCCTTACCTCATGGGGATTATTTATTCGATTAGTAAGTTTGTAGTGTACAATGTGGGGGGGGGGGGTGTAAAGGGTTATACCCAAAGGTTTTTGTAGTTAGTTAGTTACTGTAATTACCATCACCATTAATTTGCATTTCTAATCTTTCTTGGTACATTTTTATGATAACGTTCCATATTTCGACGGGAAATGTTGGTAATTGTTTTCTTCTCGTAATATTCATTCACACTATACTTCCTATTGTAAAATGCTGGTGTCTAAGATGACTGTGATAAACTTGACCTGACATCGATGCCTATTTCGCGGGCTCTAGGGGCTAAACCCGACGCCATTCGGTCAAGCTGACAACCTTTTTTTCGGTGACTTACATGGTCTACGTAACTTTGAGTAGCCAAATCTTATTGTTAAAATAGGGTGACTGTTTTGAGAAAGGAATTTTCTTAGGCGTCATCATTATCATCATCTTCAACATCATCACTGATTTGACCATATTCATTATATTTTCCCGGAATCTGATTCTCTTTACTTTTAATATCGTTAATTAAAATTTTACAATCGGATTCATTTTATTCGCCTTTCTTTGCTACATTAAATATTTTCAAAGGTATCTGGCTCGTCATCAACCATGGTTTCATCGAGTAAACGCGGGGCGAGACGAAAACTCTTCCCGGGTCTAAACTCTTCCTCGATGTCTCCCTGGTCCACGGCAAAGACCCACACAACCCTTTATTCGATGCTGGCAGCTTTTATTGGTGGTCAAATCCTCCTCACTGGGGTGTTTCTTATGCGGACAGCGCCCCCCTGTGACTGCCACTGCCAGTGGCGCCCCGAACTCGAGATGAACAAGGCGAAAGCAGGTAAGTGTTTTAGTGTTTATACAAAGGCTTAAAATGAAACAAATATAAGTCGTTCGTGATGTCGCTTCATAAACACTGGCATATAAACAGCGATATTTGATACCATGCATCTGCATACTAAGGTATCACTTTCGTAACCCTTTTCATTATCTGTAGTCATAATATATGGTTCATCTTAGGGGTGGATCCAGGAAGGATTTTGTTACGGGGGTGGAGGGGGGGGGGGGGCACGCGGTTCCAAATCTTATAATGAATGGGGCAATTTTTAGCATCCCCCTTTTAGGGGTTAGTGGAGGAGGATTTGCTAGGCAAGCTGGGTGGGGGTTTAATGATTTGTTTTATAAGAACATCTTCGAACGATGTAGTTCCACGCTTAACAATATTTATTCAGTGGCCAAATTCATTTCTTAACCAAACGGTTTATTTATTGCCTTGTCTTTTTCATCTTTTTATTTTAATAGTTCGAAGTATAGCTGACCTTTCAAGAGATATCCCAAGGCGTCAAATATTTGAAGGTATGATCAAATTCCAATCTTACCACTAAGAAAATGTAATTTAAAAGTATTGATAGTAAAAATATCAGAACTACCCCCTGCTCCCTTCCACAACAAAAAGCGAAATTAAATGGAAAACTCATTTTGATGACCAAAAATCAAAAAGGAAGTTGAAATAAATGTTTATTTTCAAATTGGTAAACAATTAAACTTGCTCCGAAAAGGAGAAAGGAAGTTTAGGGCATTGCTCTGATAAGTAACGATTTTGTTTTTTTGCGGAAAAGGGAAACCAATTCCTTCCTAGTTATAAAATGTTTGAATAATAATCAAGTGATGATAAATCAGTGACATAAACGTTACGTATTTATTCATAATGTACATGACACTCCTGTTCAGCCTTTAAAGACAAGTGATAGAAATTTATTTTTGTTATCAAGTCAGATCGCAAATATTAAAGGCCGTCTGCACTAGTTAGGCCAGGAGGGATTAGACCACCCTGCTTGTCACTGATAGGTGGTTAGCTCATCAATCAGCTCTCAAATAACATAAGAAAAAGGGACAATGGGGGATCAACAGGCACCACTTAGGCAGTATTTTCTATATAGAGAGAGCAAGTATACAAGTAGTACAGTGGGGATTTAAAGCGAACTGCAATAATTACAGTTATTGTCTTACTGTTATCATTTCTTAAATGATTATCATGAGAGTTTCGGTTTGAACGTTTTTGTTTTTTAACTCTTATCTCCTCGTGGTAATTTCAATTCAGATGAAATTCAGCCCAGAGAGATCGTCATGAGTCCCAAGGAAGCGACACCCAGTCCAAGGAATTTGAATAAAACCAAAGGTGATGCTGCTGAAAATCATCTAGAGAAGTACCGGCTTGATAACATCGGTGACAAGTTGAACATGTCGGACCACGTAGAAGAACCTATGACGGAGGCAGAACAGAGCTTCAGGATTCCCGGACCCTTCACCATCCTCACGACAACCAACACTGCCTTCAGCGATTTGACCGAAAATTGGTTGGAGAGCTTACGCCGGTTGGATCGTCCTTACAACGTGACCCTCATCGCAGAGGACTACGGTGCATTCCAATACCTCAAGGATCGCAAAGACATCATGGTGTCCTCAAGGCTACAGATCAACCTGAGATTCACGGACATGAACGTGAGCCATTCTGCAGCTCTTGGCTTTTACACCAAGGAGTACATTCAACTCGTTGGGAAGCGTCCGCATTACATCCTGGACATACTGCGCTCAGGGGTTGGTGTCCTATTCGCCGATGCCGATGCCGTCTGGCTGAGAGACCCCATTCCTCTTATCGCCGATGTCTACTCAAGATACGACGTATGGGTGGCTCTAGGTGAAGGTGGGCAAATCCCTTGCCCTTGTTTCATGTACCTGAAGCCAACTCCTAGAGCTGTGGAGATGGTCAAAGCTTGGCAATCAAGGATCGAGGATCAGCTCAATACAACGGCTCCAGAAAACGACCAGGGTGCCTTGGACTGGGTCATGCATAATCACATCCGGTACAAGAGGTTACGCGTTAAAAAGCTGGACATGACAGCATTTCCTACGGGACAGTCAATGTTCTTGAAGAAGGGGTGGTACGCCGCCAACAAAAATGAAATATACGTGGTGCATGCCAACAAGGTAGGCGGATACGCCAAGAAGAAGTTTGTATTTAAGTGGAAAAAACTCTGGTACCTTGGAAAAGACAAAAAGGGAAATGACACTCATCACTGAATGAAACACAAATGCAAAAGGACTAAATGTGATAAACATTAAATCTTCTTGTTTTCTTATAGGTTAGCTTTTAATAGAGAGATGCAGTTCTTTAATCTATTTAACAAAGTAGGCCTATGATGGAAGAATGCCAGTATGTGAAAAAGGAGAAAATATCAGAAAATATTAAGAAACCCGAAATGCGAATCTATGGACAGTAATGCTCCCTAGGGAGTGGAGCATGTGCATGCACTGTGTGCGAATAAGCCTGAATCCGATGACCGGAGTAATAATAATTATGTACTGCGCCTAGAAACAAAGTATTAGGCGCATTATAAATGTGAACAATTGTTATTATTACGAAAAATAAAATGTAACCAATGAACACATATTAGTTTGCATGGTATTTCTAAACTTTGCTATTCGCAATAGATTGCTGTTCAGTAAGTCACTTGTTTAAAGGGAATGTAATAACCATTATCAGTTTACATAATTACATTGAGTATCCGGGGGCGATGGTGTCACTTTGTATTGACAGCCGAGGCGTTGGTCAACAAAATTACCTTCTATATTGCATACTTCATCGTCATTGGGCCAACCCAGGCGCGGATCCAGGGGAGGGGGGCCGAGCGGGCCTTGCCCCCCGGCCCCCGCAAAAAAAAAAAAAAAAAAAAAAAAAAAAAAAAAGGAAAAGAAAAGGGGGAAGAAGGAGATCGGGGGGCCGAAAGGGCCTTGCCTCCCATGCTGTTAACCCCCCCCCCCCCCCAATAAAAAAAAATAAGAGAGAAGGAAGGAAAGGAAAAGAAAAAAGGAAAAGAGGAGATACTGGAGTACTGATAGAGGGGGGGGGGGGGCTTGGGAGAAATCAAATTCAAACGTGGTTTATTTCTAATTCCACAACGGTGGATTACAAATAATGCTGAAATGACATAATTTCCGAAATTTTTCCTCACTTTTTAGTAAATTATACGCTTGTATGTGTTTGTTGGAAAATGACAAATTTCTAAATTTACAGCCAGGCAAAAAATATGATTCTTGAGATTCCTACATGTCAGGGCCCGAGGTACGGCGGGGATCGAGAGCCTCGAGCTCTCCCCCCCCCCACTTTTCTTGAAAAAGTATATTAAAGAGAAATAAAATAGAATGAGAGCACGAAAGTGAGAATAGTTAACTGTCAATGTTAACAAAATAATGAGGCATCAAAATATGCTCATCTGACCGTGATTAAATGCCTAAAACCCCTAAGCTTCCCACTTGCCCCCTGGATTCCATCTAGGGCCCTACGGCGGGCCCTTAGATGATCATCTGACGGTAATTTAATGCCTAAAACCCCTGATTTTTGGACCTGGACCCCACGTCAAATAGTGACCTGCCAGTGTCGCAAAATAATAAGGTATCCAAAAAAATATGCTCATCTGACCTTAATTAAACGCCTAAAACCCCTGAGCTTCCGGGGCCGGCTTCGCCGCCTTGACCCCACCAGGGGCCCTAAGGCGGGCCCCTGAATGCTTATCTGACCATAATTTATTGCCTTAAACCCCTGAGCTTGCGGGGTCGGACAAGGTATCAAGATGTGTTTATCTGACCGCAGGCGCGTAGCCAGGGGGGGGGGGGGGCGCCCCCCCCCCAATCGGAAGAGGACGTAGGAAGAAATAGGAGCAGACAAAGAACATCTTTGAAATTCAGACAAGGATTAAGAAGTATAGAGAAAGGTACAACGCATCGTTTTCTTTCTCTAATAATAAAACGTCAAAGCCTCGCGCAGGAGGGGAGGGGGGGGGGGGGGACTGAATTCAGACGAGGATTCAGAGGCGAGAACGGTAATACGAATCTTTAATGATTTAATGAAACGTAAAAGCTTCTGCGCTTCGTGCGGGATGGAGGGGGAACTAAATTCCGATGAGGATTATTTTCGAGAACGGTACAACGAATCGTCTTCTTCTCTAATGATTTAATGAAGATTAAAAGCTTCCGCGCTTCGCGCGGGAGGGGGGGGGGGAACCTGAATTCAGACGAGGATTAAGAGTCGAGAACTATAAAACGAATCGTCTTCTTTCTCTAATGATTTAATGAAACGTAGAAGCTTCCGCGCTTCGCGCAGAAGGGGAGGAGGGTACTGATTTTAGACAAGGATTAAGAGTCGAGAACTGTACAACGAATAGTTTTCTTCCTCTAATGATTAAATGAACCGTAAAAGCTTCCGCGCTTCGCGCGGGAGGGGGGGGGGAAACTGAATTCAGACGAGGATTAAGAGTCGAGAACGGTGCAACGAATCGTCTTCTTTCTTTATTAGTTTAATAACACGTCAAAGCTTCCGCGCTTAGCGCAGGAGGAGGAGGGGGAGGAACTGAATTTAGACAAGGATTAAGAGTCGAGAACTGTACAACGAATCGTTTTCTTTCTCTAATGATTAAATGAAACGTAAAAGCTTCCACGCTTCGCGCAGGAGGGGGAGGGGGGGGGGGGGGACTGAATTTAGACAAGGATTAAGAGTCGAGAACTGTACAACGAATCGTTTTCTTTCTCTAATATGATTTAATGAAACGTAAAAGCTTCCACGCTTCGCGCGGGAGGCGGGGGATGGGGGGGGGGGGGCTGAAATCAGACAAGGATAAAGGGTCGAGAACGGTACAACGAATCGTCTTCTTTCTTTAAAAGTTTAATAAAACGTCAAAGCTTCCGCGCTTCGCGCAGGAGGGGGAGAGGGGGGGGGGGACTGAATTTAGACAAGGATTAAGAGTCGAGAACAGTACAACGAATCGTCTTCGGTATCTAATAATTTAATGAATCGTAAAAGCTTCCGCGCTTCGCGGGGGAGGGGGGAACCTGAATTCAGACGAGGATTAAGAGTCGAGAACTCTACAACGAATCGTCTTCTTTCTCTAATAATTTAATAAATCGTAAAATTTTCGGCGCTTCGCGCGGGAGGGGAAAAACTAAATTCAGACGAGAATTATTTTCGAGAACGGTAGAACGAATCGTCTTCTTTCTCTAATAATATAATGAAACGTTTAAGCATGGGAGGGGGAAACTCCCCCCCCCCCGCATTACGTCACTGTTGGTCACCATTACGTACCAATATTTGGATCGCATAATTTCAAATTTGGGCTTCCCCCCTAAGAAATCCTGGATCCGCGCCTGGGTCAACCCCCCCCCCCCTTAGCAAAAAGCTAGCTCCGCCCTGGGAATGAGGGAGTTGTCACCTTTGTTTAAGTGAGTGAAAAAGTATGATGTATAGCATTAGTAGGTCGTGTTGAAAAGAAAAACAAACTAATTAAATCAAAGGACGATCTATACATGTCATCAATAGGCTATATCGAAGTTATTTTTTTCGAAAATACTTCACATACTTCATATTGCACATGCAGGGTTGTGCGCCCGTTTTTTAATCCAAGTGCATAAGTAAAAAAATAAAAAAATAAAATAAGGATCCAGGGGTGGGGGGGGGGGGGGGGGGGATGGGGGTGGGGGCGGGGGCCTGAGCATGTTTATGGGGGTTTTGCTACCAAATAAAAGTAATGCATTTTTGAAGGTGCGATCAATTAACATAAATTGACAACTTTGTGACGTATCTAATTGCGAGGTCTTCTCCCATTTGCCTTGTATACTAAACATATTTAAAGACTTGTATTTTCCTTTCAGAAAATTTGCAATCATACATTCCCCTTAAATATTATAATCATCGAAAATATGTTTATATAAAACCCCTGTATGAAACAGAAAATGAAAGTATATGAAATTTTCTGTATATACAGAGCGAATTGGAGAGGAACCCGCAAGATACGTCACAGTGTATATATAGCCACTGTGTTTCACAGTGTTTCACTGATGACAACTTCGAAAAATCATAACTTTCTTATCTCAAACTTTCACGAAGCTTTCACCACATTTGCTTCTCTCAAAACCAAGATGATACTGGGATGGATTTTTCTTTAAGGTATAAGGCAAATTATAATACAGTTTTTGGTTAAAGAAAGACAAAATAATGTGATCTAATATATTGTTTAATGTTGGTAAGATAAAATTAAGGCCGTTTCTTGATGTTGGTCAATGGTGATAGATTAGGTCTCCTTTAAATTCGGTGTTTGTGATTTTAGCAATAATTATTAAATATATTAACGTTTAGATGATTTTTTTTTGAAAATCAAAATACCCTCGAAAAAATCCTCATAATATACGATGATTATTCTCATGTACTGCATAACCAGCCTTAATTGTCCAAGAACATTTTGGTAAATTCTCTCATGCAATAATAAATGACCAGAAGTCAACTTTATACTTAGCCTTTGATTGAATAATAATAATTAACAAACAGGGTAAGGGAAGCAGACGATACAAAGGTGGGGGGGGGGGGGGGGGGGGTGGAGAAAGAGAAATGGAATGCCAAGAAATTGTAATAATGAAAAACATTATTTGCTCGAGATTTTTAGACAAAAGTTTTCATTAATTCGCTCACTACAAATTAACTAGAGAGAAAGAACAGAAATATGATTAATACACCTCAGTGAATTTTAGACTTTTAAACACAAGTTCTCATTGATTCGCTCACTACAAAATTAACTAGAGAGTAAGAACAGAAATATGATTAATACACCTCAGTGAATTTTAGACTCTTAAACACAAGTTCTCATTGATTCGCTCACTACAAAATTAACTAGAGAGTAAGAACAGAAATATGATTAATACACCTCAGTGAATTTTAGACTCTTAAACACAAGTTCTCATTGATTCGCTCACTACAAAATTAACTAGAGAGTATAAGAAAACAAAAATATGATTAATACACCTCAGTAAAATTCTGTGCTATATCCGAAGACATACGTCACTAATTATCATAATCACATGAAAGCGAAAACATACAACTACTTTTATGGCTGCATGTATGTTTTCTGTTATTATAATACCCAGTCGTCTCATGTTTGTATGGATGAAAATTATGATCTCCATGTTTTAGCCTTTATAATACATGTATAGAGTTATCACGTGACGACGCTCCGTCAGTCGATATAATAATTAATATGCCTTATTTCCGCCTGATGCTCTTTGTCTTTTGTGGAATAAACAAGCATAAAACAGACTCTCGGTGGTCTAATTACAATACCACTGAACAGCAGTAACCTATAAACATTATTGTTAGCTTACAATTATAGAACGGAACGAGGAAAATTATCACTATATCCTGTGTTATTTGTAATTGAGGCGTCCGAGCTCTTTCATGCTTTTAACATTCACATCGTCATGACATGAATTACACGTGGATTGTAGGCGACTGGACCCAGATATCAGTATATCGGTAAAAAGTAAGTATTGCTAAGTAATTTTCGATAGATGTCCGCACACGTTTTAACTATATGCTTAAAAATGATATCTCAGTCTCTTTTCTAAGCATGTTTATGTTTATAATGCTAGTAGTATGTTTCCCACCGTCTTCGACAAGCATAATCACTGAGGCTACTCGTAAAGTGAAGTACGTATGTGTGTTAAAGGGAAAGACCAGTATTGGAAACGCCCCAATTTCAAAAAATGAAATGGAAGCTCTCATTACCAATCATGTGAAAGAATATGTTTTGACTAATACATGATGATACAAAATTTGCCGGGAAACCGCCTACTAATTCATATATTTGGTAAATTTGTTTCTCTCATGGTCTGTGAGAGATATAGGGTAGTCCCATATACATCTTTCTGTGTTTTGTTTTGTTTTTGTTTTGTGTATAGTGCTTGTAACTTTACGAAGAATGGGCCAAATTTCTTATCATTTTGATGACTCCAGATGCTAGATGCTAGATGATCAACCTTTTCTGATTGATTCCACAACGTTTCTTTCACAATGCAATTGCATGACCATAACTGGTCTTTACCTTTAAGCGAATTCCTTTCTGCCCGGGTAAATCGCTCTGACGGGACTTACCCGATTACGAAATTCTTTTTCATGTATGCATTGTATCAATAATTATATGAATATAAGTCTATATAAATTGAAAGGGTCTGACGATCTGATATCGGGGGGCTCCAGTGTTAAAAGCGTAGGCCAAAATAATATCCAAATCAATTCTATGTACATAATATTTGTGTGTTACTTTTAAAGGAAATTAAAAAAGGAATTGATATGGGTCATATTCCGTCGTTGAAGACCTTAGAGATTTCATTTTTCTTTTTATTTGATTTTCTTTCTGCATTTTTCCAAGTACAATAACTGAATAACAAAGAACATGTAACGTAGGGTATAAAATAAACAAACATAATAACTTCATGTCAAGATATTATTTGAATATAAACATATAATAAAGAACTCAATATTTCTTTAACATTATTATAAATTTAAAGTTTTATCCGAACTATATCTGTGGAAAAGTGCAGGAGACCTAGTCAAGCAACGCTTTACTAGGATGGCGGCTACTAAAGAAAATTCTTAAAGTGACTCGATAACATTGTTGAAGGTTGATGAAAACCTGCGTAATTTTGTATGAAATGTGACTTATTATATTCCTTCTAACGTTCTTACCCTCTAACATGCAACAAATCCTTAAAACAAAGGTGTGGTTTTCTTTGAAGGTGTCACTGTGCAACACCTTCTGACAGTAAATTCTCCCAGCCAGGAGACAGGCTTTAAAAAATATTTCATCATTTAAAATTTCCGGAATGGTATCAAGAGCCAATTCATTGCTTTGTGATCGCTCGATAATATGAAAATGTGTTCATACGATCTTTTCGTATGAGTTTGTGAGTGTGTTCGTGTGGTTTGTGTGTTAGCTAATGGTAAATGTGCACGTAGCTCTTTCCTGTCATAAATCATTTGTCGAAACCAGAGCTCAACCAATCTCATGAATCTTTATGTTATAGGCAGTTCTTTTCATCATGGCAGGACATAGAGAATCATATGCAGCCCGTGATCATTCACCGGCCTCCTCCTCCTCCTCACCCTCGTCGTCGCCGTCGTCGTCGTCGTCGACTTTGTCAGTGAAGACGTCGGGGAAGTGTCCCCAAACATATTTCTTACTGTGTGCGCTCACTGTTGCTCAGGTCGGATTGCTGTCTCTGTTTTTCATCTGGACTGTCCAAACTTGTTATACTCGATGTGAGTCACAGTGATTTCATTTTATCAAGTGAATTATTGAAATATCAATTAAAAAAAAGAAGCTCCTGATTATATTCAACACTGATTAGACATTTGTTTTTTAATTGACTGATATCAATATAGTTGATAAGGATAGTTGCTATTGAAAAAGTATATGACAAATTGATATGTCCCAATTTATGTTTCCTGATAATGTCACATTTCAAAGCTTACATCCAAAATATATTCGAGAAACGTTCTGATTCAACCAGATGAGTTCACCTTCCATTCCTGACTTTGGGTGTTAACTGTAAAAAGTAAAATAATTATGATAATAACACCACAATAATCAACATCATCGTCATCATCATCATCATTACTAATTATACTTCTCGTATTATTTTGTCCACCTTTTTTTCAGATCAGCGCGTCATCATCGTTTATCCTATCGATTCGAATCCTCGGCTCCGATCAATGAGTAATGATTCTCACCGAGACGACATCAGTCATCATCATCATCATCATCATCTCCATGGCAACAAAAGTAACATCACGACTAATCTCCTGGGAGACATTCAGCATGAGGGGACACCTGTTTTCGGCAATGATAGTGGGCAGATATCGAACTTTCTAGACTCAAAACGAAATGTCAGTATTGTCGGAACGACGCGGTTTGAAGTACTCGCCCTCACAATAAAATGGTTAGAGAGTTTGAAGATATTGAATTTAGATTATGACGTCACATTAATCGTAGAAGACCAACCTGCGTATAGAATACTGTCAAAAAGGAAAAACAGTGCGAGAAAGTTATACAAGACGCGTTTAAAAGCAAGACGGGAGCGGCAAAACGGGACGCGAGTCATGAGTTTGACACTATCTGATTGTGACGTCGTACTGGACATTCTCGGTTCGGGTAGAGACGTACTGAATACTGCAACCGATTACGTTTGGTTAAAAGATCCCATACCTCTAATATGGCAGAAATATAACCAGTGCGACATTTGGATCAAAAGCGGGGAGAATCAAACGCAGGTTTTTATGTTCCTGAAGTCATCGCCAAAAATGATCTCCTGCGTGAAAGCTTTGAAAACGAAAATGGCAAGGAAGTCGAAAGCGCCACGATCATTGGTTTCCGATGATACCCTAGTACATGCGCTAAGGACTGGGTTGCATCGCTTCTTGGACACTTCTGATTTACGTATATGCCACTTGGGAGAAGCTTATTTCCCTTGAGAAATATATATGTATGTGAGGAGGAGGGGTAGTACTCTGCACACAAGGGGGTAATCTTCATGGTGCCTTGAGAAAGGGGTGTATTTAAGGAGGAGGGGTGGTACTCTGCTCACAAGGGGCAAATCCCCATGGTCCTTTCAGAAAGATGTGTATTTGAGGAGGATGGGTGGTACTCTGCCCATAAGGGGGTAATCTTCATGGTCCATTGAGAAAGGTGTGTTTTTAAGGAGGAGGGGTGGTACTCTGCCCACAAGGGGGAGATCTTCATGGTCCTTTGAGAAAGGTGTGTTTTTAAGGAGGAGGGGTGGTACTCTGCTCACAAGGGGGAAATCTTCATGGTCCTTTGAGAAAGGTGTGTTTTTAAGGAGGAGGGGTGGTACTCTGCTCACAAGGGGCAAATCTCCATAGTGCGAATAGGAGCGATAGAAGATTCTCAATGAGTGCAAGAACCCCCAAACCCCCTTTCCCATTTTTTTCTTGCTAGAACTCTCCAGGCCACGCAGCTAATAATGGAGAGTTCAACTATTGATGTAGTGGTTATAGTGGTCACCGTATTCCGTAAACACCGACTAAGACTGTCTCAAACAAAATGCAAGTTAAATCCAATCCAAAAAAAAATCAGACAATGCAAGATTTTTCCTTTTAGTTATTGAGTTCACTAATGGATGCTTATTAGTTCAGTGATAGAACAGTGATCTCATATAAACCATGAGGTCCAGGGTTCGAAACCAAGTCGTTGCGTTATAGCGAATATTAATCCTCATTACCAAGTCCCTCGGAGAGGACTTAAAGCCTACAATCCCATTTTGTTTACTCACAGGCATACATACCAGTAATGCTTTCTTAGCAATCAGGTAAAAACGAACCATCAATCATGAATTGCTAATAGTGATATAAATAGAGGAGTAGCTCGATTTCGAAAGGCCCTAAAAGATCAATTTTGGCCAATATCGACCCCCACCCCCCTTTTCCCCCATGGAAAAGTGATCTTTTTTCTTCAATAAACGATAAACATTGATATAATTATAATAAAATATGACCTTGTAGCAGTTTAAATGTGTTTCGCATGTGGAGCGATGTGTGTGCAGCGCTTTGTAACCACAATGAAAAGGCGCTATATCAAATATCTCTGGGATTGGATTGGATTTGAACAGTTAAAGTGGTTAAAACGTTAACACAAGATAGATAGAGAGAGAGAGAGAGAGAGAGAGAGAGAGAGAGAGAGAGAGAGAGAGAGAGAGAGAGAGATCCCCTCCCCCCCCCCCCCCAAAAAAAGGAGGAACATGAAACTTGTATTTACACATACAGATTACATTTTGATGAGTTGGCTCGATTTGCCTACGAAGATTGCGGACAAAATTTCAACAGTACGAAAAAAAAAACAAGTTCTGTAAAACTGAGAAAGAGAGAGGATTTCTAAAATAAAATGATAGGTGATTTGTGACTTTCAAGGAAGAAAAAAACAATTTCTATCGCTCGTGACGGCCATTTTATTTTAATTGTTAAGAATTCAAGAACTTCCGGGGGCTCCGACCTTAGACCCCCAGCAGAGGCTGTGCCCTTGGACCCCATCCATAAAGATACAAGTTGTTCCCAAGACAACCCTTTGTTGGATAAATATTGTCTTTAGGAGAGAGTGTGTGTTTTATGAAGTTCAAGCTTCACATGAAGGCAAGCTTTCGTCCATACACTATTGTGCACTTTGGGTTATTCACACCATACTGTGAGGTTGAGTGGGTTGCATACGGTGGGGTGGGATGAGGACTATAAGGGGTATTATTTGTTTTACATTATAACTGATTTCGTTTGTTTCTTTTCGTTCGTAAGTTATGACTTGTTATGCATTAAAGTTGATAGAATTATCATATACCGTTAATGATTATAGAGAAATGTATTTTGAAGAATTACTTGTATTGCTTTGATACTCAATGAAATACACACACAAAAATATCGATCGATCGAGAGAGAGAGAGAGAGAGAGAGAGAGAGAGAGAGAAAGAGAGAGAGAAAGAGAGAATTGATTTCCAGCACCTTCCCCTTAGATCAGATATAGACCTAAAACAATCCTCATTTTCTTCAGTATAAAAGTGTCATTCAGGGGGGGGGGGGGGTCGTGAGAACTATTTTTTTAAATTAAAAAAACAAACATTTGTATCAAATTTTGGACCGCTCGGTGGAACAGCGCCACCATGTTGGTGGATGCTGAGTAGGGCTCATTGTTGTTTCTCGGGGGCGGCCGAGCGACTTCCAAAGTATGTGTGTGTGTGGGGGGGGGGGGGCACCAAGAAAAAGGGAACTTTCTGGAAAAAAGGGCACCTATAAAGGGAAATCTCAAAGCGAAAATATACAATTATTTAGATTTTGGTATATACCCTTATACTGTGATTACAATTATCAGGGATGATTTCAATATAGTTTCACTTTATAAACCATACAAGATATTGCTTAATTGAACATCATGTTTTGCAGTTGGGTTTTATTGTCTAAAAAATTGTTTGCGAGCGAGGAAAATTTTTAAAATATGTGAGGTCGCAGTGCGAAAAATTACATTTTATAAAGAGGAAAAACCCAATCCTAATGAGGTTATAAGCACATTCTCATAACGGGAAGGAAAACTCCCCCCCTCAATATTTGTTTTAATTAACAAAAAAACAAAAACATTGTGCTAATGGGTGACAAAAAAAAAGGTGACCTTAACCCCCCCCCCCCCCCATCGGAACAAAATATCGATCGTACACATTTTTACATTTCTGGACAAAAACAAACAAACTATGTGCTCTAAACCCCCCCCCCCCCCCCGATTATTCAGCGGCTGGCTGAGTCGTTGCAAAATTTTCGGCGCAATTTTCAAATTTTAAACCCCCCCCCCCCCCTTTCGAAAAAATCCTGCGTACGCGCCTTGATGTGTGCAAGCGTAGCGAGCGGGCTTTGGGGGGAAATTGCTTTTAGTCGCTTGAAATTAGCTAGGGCGCGTTTAATGATGAAAGGAAAAGGGAACACATATCAGGAAATAAAAGGAGCATGTGCCAAAATACAAAGAGCAATTATCAAAGGTAACAATGGGGCACTTCTTACACCCTCAAAAAGAGGCACTCACCAGGGATGAAAAAAGTCAGTCATGAAAATAGGGAACGGGCATTTTTTGACGGAAAAGGGGCCCCCGTCAATTTTGATAGGGGCATTTATAAGATATTATTATATATTGTTAAAAGGGAAATTATCAGAAGTGAAAAGGGGCACTTATCGCACCTGAAAAGGGGAAATGACCAGATATGAAAAGGGGCACTTATGTGAATGAAAAAGGGGCACTTGTAATAAAGGAAAATGTACATTAGTTAAAAGAAAATGGGAACCGATCAGATTTTAAAGGGGCATTTATCGGAGGTGAAGGGGGCACTTATCTGACGTGAAAAGGAGTAACTTCTCCTACCTGAAAAGGGTCATTTACCAGAGAAGGGGCACTTATGAGAAGGGGAAAGGGCTCTTTTTTAATGGAGCACTTATCATTAGGAAAAGGGGCACTTATTAGAAATTTAAAAAGGCACATGTGAAAATATAAGGTGCGCTTATCCGAGTTAAAATGGAGGTAGTTATTAAAAGGGGAAGGGGCACTTCTAACAAAGGATAAGGGGCACTTGTCAAATTAAAAGAAGCAGGTACCTCTCAGAGGTGAAGGGGGCACTTCTCGTACCCAACTAGGGGCACTTATGAGAATGGAAAATGGGAACCTGTTGAAGGAAAAGGGGCACTTATCAGAAATGAAAAGGGGAAGGGGCACTTTAACAAATTAATAGGGGCACTTGTCAAAGTAAAAGGGGCAGTTCTTAAAAAGTTAAAGGGGCACTTTTCGGGTGCACTGTGCCCCCCCCTCCCCTCCCTTGGGAGGGCCGCCTATGATTGTTCTTCCTTTTAATACGGAAATAAATTCTAATCAAACATTCAAGAAAACTCTCAAAATGTAAGTTCAAACGTGACAGAAATGAGCAGGGGATCAAAGAGAAAACCAAAGCTATTACAGGACAACATTGAACACGCCACTTTTTTGTTGATATTTTACATATTGGTTGCTCTTTACAGCAATTTATTACAAAAACCAAAAAATATCACAAATCCACAGACAAAAACATAATTGATTTCATCAAACATTTTTTGTAATAACATAAACCAATATCAATAATTGTTGATAGGTGCAAATGAGGAAGGTCAGTCAGAATGCATGCCCAGAGGTGTGTGATGAAACACTTAAAACATCCCACAAAGATATCCACCAAACATTGATAGGAAGGGATAGAGTGTCATCGAATGAGTATTGATACATACATCAGATATGCCAACCTTTATATTCAGCTTTTAGGGAGGTTTCTATCAATTGCATACAGCATAATAGGAATAATCTTTTCACAAATCAGGGAGGCTTTAATTTTAACATTTGTGTTGAGTGACATAAAAAAAGAAATTTTTCAGGGAGGGTTGGTATCTCTGCAGAGGCTTCAGGTATATACTAGAACATACATGTTCAATCACAGTACAAAACAATACCTTTAAATACTTGTATCTAATAAAATGATATTTGTATTTCTGTCTGTGGTAACGATGTGAAGCATAACCTTACATCCTTATCTGATATATTGATCTGACAGATTTTGTGCCAAAAAATACTTAATATCAGACAAAATCAGGTCTTTCATAAGCTGCCTAATGAAGAAAATTATGCACATTATCATACATTTTTTCCCTTCCGTAGATTATATAACAAAAAAATTCAATCAACTATGCTTTCATCCCTTCTTATATGGTGTATATGGAATACCACTCCTTTCATGCACTCCTCTCAAATCGCTTAACAAAGATATATTTAAGTAATTCATCATTGTTTCTATGAGCCAGCGAATCTGTCATATATTTTAACGTATGGATTCGTCAGTTCATATATCAACCATAAGTTGTCCTATTAATTCTTGTTAGGTAGTGCAGGGAATACACATATCTTATCTTGGATTTCAAAAGCCCTATTCTGCTCCTGTGCATAAAAGGCTAGTATTCTGTTTACACATACAACATACTAAAAACATATTTGTGATCAAGTTCAATTGAACTTGTTCAACACATCTGATTGGACTAAACCAAATCCTACATTATTAATTTTGCCATAATTGATTGAATTCTAACATTTGGCTTCATTGCAGCACATAGTCTGGACCTCAAAGAAATCCTTGGCAAAAAAAATGGGAGGGAGTACATAGAGAAAAACATTTCCTACAAAAAAATTGAAGTGTAACAACCGACTTTCATATTCATGTAATCATATCAATTCTACCCGTTATAGAGCCTACAACTATTAACATTATCCTAAATCTAAAAGTTCTAGTATGTCTAGGATATTTACAATCATGTAAAATAGCTCAAAACAACTGCTATTGAATGGTATTTACATCGACGTCTTCTTCAGTTGCTCTGATGTGAAAATGATTTCATGACCTTTGACCTAGCTGTACATTCCTGTGGTCAGTGAGAAAGAAGAAACAGCTAAGAGGATATACAGGGTGCTTTATAACCTATGACAACTTTAAAGAATGACACGAACACAAACATACATTTAGGTTAATAAAATCAATCAATAAGTAGGTTTAGACAAGCGATATGCCTCTTCAGTCTTCGGGGGGGGGGGGGGGGGGGGGGGGTATAACAATTCATGTACACATGTAGAAAGAGAGAATATAAAATACTCTACGGGAGAAAAGGGATCAACTTTAAATGACAAAAAGAGAAGATCTTCAAATGGGAGAAAATGCATCATGATTGTGTGGGAGAGACAAAGAGAGATGAAGAAAGAGAAGATTTCATGGAAAGATATGGTGAAGAAAGAAAGCTGTAAGGATAGTCCAAATGAAGAGGGAAACTGATAACTTTAATCAATTATAATGATGATGAGAAAGAGAGTGCGAGAGAGAGAGAGAGAGAGAGTGAGAGAGAGAGAGAGAGAGAGAGAGAGAGAGAGAGAGAAAGAGAAGAGATAGAGAAAGAAAGAAGAGAAAGAAAAAGAGAGAGATAGAGAGACAGATATGGGGAGGGAGGAAGGGGGAGAATGTATACCATGTGTGATAAAGAAGACATACCTGTCAGAGAGAATGTAACGCACCTCTTGTAATACAAAATATAAGAAAAACACCAATGGTGCATACCCTATATGTGAGAGACACAATAAATGTCCTGTGACAGAAAGGGTTAGAATACCTTGTGTCAAAATGCCTACACATGATCCTTTGTGTGATATGCTTAACAAAATAATGTTATAAATGGAATACAGTCAAAAAGAGAGAAAAAGATGCTAGCGTGTTTCAAGAAATTCACAGCTCTCCGTCTACAAAAACTGCCTCATAAATATTTCTGTGAATATATTACCTGCTGACAGCCAGGAGGACATTAGCTCTGTGTGAAATGAAACGAGACAACTCCCTTTAAGCACTCAGAAGATGACATATACAAAAACCTTAATTGATACATGTCAACACTATAGTATCTAACACATCATGATAAACATTTCCCGGTGCGCACAAATCGAACACTGTATAAGAATATATCTGATAGAGCTGTTTTGATTTACTTCACTCAACTCATTCATTCGTTACACTCACTTACAATGTACACTGAGTCTCTGGGCAAAGTGTTCTGTAGTTGCATACAAAGAGGTATTAGCTTCCTAGAAAAAGAATGCCTTTCTTTCAACATATATGTACATCTGGCATGGCACACAAAATACAATCTTCATCAACTGTGCTCTCCTCTGTAATATAGATTTCAAAAGCTTAATCAAAACATTGCCCTTCTGCGGTTTAATGCTTCGACATGTGAGGTGCGGAAACGTTACGGATTGTCGGTCAGAACACAAACCTGCAGCATGTGCACCATACATGTATGTACATCATTACGGGTATATGTACATCATGTACTATCGACTAATAGATAAAAATACAGACACTTGGCAGCCTAATGGTAACGCCAAAAACAGACAGACCTTTAAAGGGGTGAGTGCAGTGATCAACAGCTTAAATTGGCAACATGGTTCAGAATTACGCAATGTATACTTACAAAAGTTACACATATGCATTGCATGGACAAATTAATTTTCCTTTATCATTGACGATGCCTCAAAATAAAAAAAAATAATGAAAATATTTTTCAAGTGGAAAAAAACAACAACAAACAAACATAGAAAGATACTAAGATACTGTGACTCGTCATTTTTCGTTTGAGGGGCGGTATCTGCGCAACTCACAGAGAGTAGCGTATCATTCTTGATGACTCTGCAAGTCGACCCCAAGTCGACCGTAAGTCTGCAAACTTATTCAAATTATAAAGCCTTCTACTGCAAAAACACGATATGTTTGAAAATTGCATTTTAATGTTGATAAGTGACTGTACTTTGGTCCAGTGCTTAGGGCCAGAAGGACTTTATCTCATATCATTGTGTACAGAGTTAATGCTCTTCTTACTCTCAGCAGACGAGATACAGAGCATGCCAACTCATTAAGAAAGAAGCAAATTGAACTTTGAATTTCAGAATTGATTGATTTATGATCCATCCATAAAATGAATGCAAGCTTATTAAGATATATCATATTATCACAGCAAAGATGCATAAAGCTGTGTTCTTCCCCAAAATCAATATTCAGTTTTCATGCAGATCTTGTTTAAATATTTCTATCCAAATATGTTGTTCTTACAATGGAACCTCGCTAAATGAGAATACTGGTATACTAGCCAATTACTTTCAAAGTGCTTTCAGGTAAATCAACTGGTCCTAAGGGGGTATATTCATACTTTTGTTTTCTTTAGGGCAAACTGATTTGACTACTAAGCAAAGAGCCTCTGTGTCCTACCAATGATAACAGTGACAGAATGAACTAGATGCCAAGCTAATATGATTCTAAGCTTATCACAATCCAATGCAATTGACTCTGGTATCTATAGAATGCATGATGATATTGATTGTAAAGGCTTAAATTACGCATTATAATACAGGTTCCAGAATGTAGGTAATATCCTTGGTTAAATGAAACAAAGTGAATGTACATCATTCTCTCCTACCAAGCCTGCCATGCAAAAAAGTTCTCGTCAAAAAGTGATAACCCATGGAAGTGAAAGTGCATGGCTGAGATGCGCATATGCGTATCTTTGGCATGTAAAAAATTAAGAAACAATGAGATGCACAGAGTTTCAAATGGCAAGGACAAAGATGTGCACACTGAGACGTGCATTTGACCGTTGAGCTGCACTTATGCGATGGTCATAAAAGCAATCGGCCGCCTCGATGACTGTGCGACACTTGGCATTCTGATCAGGTTTGTTGCTTATTTCTCGACTCTATATTCAAATTGCCCCCCATTTTTATAAAAGAATCCTTGTGCATTAGTGATATGCACTGCACTCTGTAAAGTCACAATGAGCAGGATTAATGAACGAGAGTTGTTGATTGTAACTCGACCTACGTGCAGTGTATGCTCACTAATGCACATGCAAACATTAATTATTTGTACATCATCAAAGGCAACGAGCGTAGCAGGTGAACTGCAGCAGCAATGGGAACAATCTCTACTTAAATACACTACACTCAATGACATCAACTATTAAAGGGCTGAAACTGAAGAAAACATTAGGGTTTCACATTCACAGTGCAGCTAGATTCTCGCGTTTGAATTTCTCCTCGCTTCCATCTGTAGTAGTTCATTCACTAAACGCTCAAACAAGCTCAATTTGCAGCAGCCATCCTCAAAATTGTAAAAAGAAGTCCATATACTCGTGATTTGGCTTTTCTCTATCTCTGTGTGTGACAGTAGGGATAGTTCATCTTGCTCATTGGCTGGTTGCTCCCTATTGTTGGGCGGAGGCCGAGGGGGTGTGGCCGGGCCTATGCCTTGCTGTTTGACTGGTGGTGGTTTTCCTTTGTAGGAGCACATCTCCTGGCCTGCTCCTTCACTTTCTTCTCATATTGCATCCTGTTTTGTCTGTAGATAACAGGAGAGGAAAACAATTAAGCTCAATCATATTATGATCCGGTAGACCGGTGTATCGTTTTTCAAAATGAGGAAGGCGTAATGCGCGTTACTTCTTGCATTCTACCCCACACAGACATGTGGGCATTCATAAGAGCTTTGATGCATGTAACTACTTTTTTAAATCCCAACTTGCCATTGGATTACTTAACCCATTAGCAACAAGAGATTTTGTAAAAATGGCCAATTATTCACTGGAAAATGATGCAAAATTGCTCTCAATTTGACATTTTTCACATAGAGGGATACTACAGCTCGTTGAAAACGGACGAAAGCAGCCTGAGGTTTTTGGGCGGTGCAGTGAGTATAACAAGGCGGTTTCAGGCGCTTTAGTTGCTAAAGGGTTAAGCAGTCCAAATTTTCATTTTCATTAAATTATGGCAGCATAAAGAAATAATAGTAAGATATTAGAGAAGTAATAACAGAAATTTGCTTCATGAAATACTGGCATGTCAGGAGCAAGAAGACAACAAAGTACTGTACTTACGAATATATTGTGTATGCTTCTGCCTGGGCTGGGTCATTGATGTTAGGGTCGTTGAGTAAATCCTGGATGCCAATCAAAATCTGAAAAGAAAGGGCAACCAAAAAGTATGAAAATCACTGTGACAGCAATACTAGGAAGGTAAAAATCATTCATGCAACAACAAAAAAACAGAAGAAAAAAGTGAACACAAAGCATTTCTGAATAAGTGATATTAATGAGCAAAGATTTCTTAACCCTTTCAGGTTAGGCTTTTTCATAAGTTCTACTACTAGCAAAACTAGCAAAGCCTTATGAGGGAGAAACAGCCATTTTTCTTTAGAAAGGTCAATGGGTCAATGGGAGGTCTCGTAATCCGGCGACCCGGGTTTGAAACCAAGGCGATGCACTAGTGCCCTTTGGTAAGGCATTTTCATCCTCATTACCAAGCCTTTCGGAGAGGACCTAAAGCTGTCGGTCCTCTGGTTGCTTACTGACAAGCATTTATGCTTTCTTAGCAGTCAGGTAAAATAACTTCCAATACACACAAGTACATGGCTATATATCTGCTCTACGTCAGCTGTGTGGCTCCTAAAGGGTGCTCACGGCATCAAATTGGGCCTGCCTGTGTGGCACTCACGGTTAGGTTTTACATGAAGGAGTTACTGTAGGGAGACCCAACATTGAATGTTACCTGTTTAATTGTTACAGCTGGTCTCCAATCCTTATCCTCGTCCAGTAGAGAGAGGCACACTGTGCCTGATGGGTACACATTCGGATGGAACAATGGAGGGTCAAATTTACCTGCAGGCAGAGAACAAAACAGATTTCATTTTGTTTTTATTTCTGCATTTTCAAAATGGTACATATTCATATACTATACATAAATTAACAATTGTATCTACATTATACTGTACATAATAATAATATTTTCACTAAATGTAGGATGAAAGTTTGGCCATTTTCTTTAATATTTTTTTGATGAGTTATTTCTCATCATATATCAAATACGAGGGAATTTGAAGAGCAATCCATTTTCATATTCTCCCACACTGACAGAGAATTAATGAGGAAGCTCATCATCTTTATATTTTGAATGTTATTTTGTCAACTTGAATGTAATTTTGATATTATTATCTGTTATGATATACCATCTTTTATCATTGTATATATTGTCATGATGATTGAAATAAATGTCAATTCGATTCAATTTACCAGAACTCGACCTTCTCTTTAAAGGCAGTCATTGCTTTTTGCAGAATTGTGTGAACTCCAAGATGTTTCAAATATATCCATCACATAACAATCATGTGTGACGTTTTTGAGTCAAAGGTTCTGTAATCTAGCTCTGTCTGCGTACTGCCGTAGAGGGAGCCATTCTCAAATCAACAGATATACAGAAAGGGTGGGACTACATGTATGTAACTTCAAGGGAAAGTCCACCCCCAAAATAAGTTTGTTTCGATAGAGGCAGAATAATAAGAAAATCAGGTGAGTGAAAGTTTGAGCAAATTCTGAATGAAAATAAGAAAGTTATGAATTATTGAAGTTGTGATCAATCAAATACAAATTGGCAACTCTGTGACTTATTATACGAGCTCTCCTTCATTTGCTTTGTGCATAATATTCCATAAAATCATGTTTTCTTCGTTATTGATGACGGAATATATATTTGTTCCTTGCAGGGGGAGTATAGAAACATATTTGCAATTATTATATTTAGGGTGCATGTATGGTTGAAATTTTTCTTGAGGGAAAATGAAAATTTTTGATTTTTTTAGTACTGAGCAAATGGAAGTTGAGCTCGCATGATACGTCATAGAGTTGCCAATTTGTGTTTGATTGATCACAACTTCAAAAATCCTAACTTCCTTATTTTTAATCGGAATTTGCTCAAACTTTCACTGACTTGTTTCTCTCATTTTTCTACTCCTATTAAAACTAACTTAATTTCAGGGTGGACTTCCCCTTTCAAACCTTCCTCTATTTTCCGAGTCTAGAATAATAAATACCTGTAGCTGGAATTAAACAATTTAAAATTCATTAACTGAAAGTTAGTTTCCATTTGTTTTTTTAATTTGATGGTAGGTTTCTAATAATAGACCTCTTCGTTGAACCACTTGATACTTGGAACTTCAGGTTTTTAGGTGTGTAAAAGAAACAACCCATCTTTAAATCACTTTTAAACATCTACTAGTATATAATGAGCAGGATATGAAAGCAGTCAATGATAGTATTAGGCACGGTGCCAAACTCTAGAAATAGCCAATGTAACTTTATTTTCATTGTGGACATTTTTAGTAACATCCATTAAAGAGCTTAAGAACCTTTAATGGGTTAAAGTGGGGATTTTTGTCAGTATAATTTGGTACTTTGACATTTTAACAGCAGTCAAGCAAGATTGGTAGAGAATGGCATTTCTCTGTCTTAATTTGAGATGTCAAAATCCCCACCTTCTCCTAAATTATGAAATAGTGTACAAGATATTACCAAGATATTTTGAGAGTTCAAAATCAAAACTGATGTGGGAAAGTTGGATGATGTTATTTATAGGATCTCCATCTCTCATTATACATGTTGCCAGATTTCAATTTTCCGGTGTTATGCCCTTAGAAAATGCGAAAGTGGCCAGCTTCTTTAAAGTAACATTGTTCAAGGGTGATGAAAAGACTTTTTTTGTAATTTTTATATTTTTTTGTATAAAATGTTACTTATTATATTCCTTCTACTGTACTAACCCTCGAACATGCTAAAAATCCTGACAAAATTCTCAAACCATACAGATATTTATAATTTTCTTTGAAGGCGTCACTGTGCAACACCCTTTAACACTAAATTCTCCCAACCAATTTTTGAATTTTCCCCAACCGTTTTTCCATGAAAATAAGACATAAAACAGGCCTTTACTATTTTTTCAACACTTTAATGTGTAGAATAAGCCTTTTCGATGCAAAAAAAGATACAAGGACTTTTTCCTTTCCCTTCATCCTTTACATTTTACTCGCATGAATGACTAATAATTCTTAGAATTCTGGCCTTTTAAAATGGCTGCTCAAGGACAAACTATGGGGTACTACTAGGGTGAATTATTGAACTTCAGAAGGATGACTTTCCATGTGACCTTCACACATTAATCACAGCTACAAGTGGATTAATACAGCTTGTTCACACTTTCAGGGGTTTATTCCCACATGCAAAGACAAAAGGTTGCGTGACTTTGTAAGGGTAGGTCTGATTTTCAAAAAATATGTTTCGAAAGATGCGCAAGACTGGAAAGAAAAAAAGTAATACAATTTCAACGCAAGATTCTTTTGCGTTGAAAAATTACCAGGGAAAATGTACTGTATAGGGGGGGGGGGGGGGGGGTTAAAGGCCCAATCTGATGAAAATACAACTTTTATATCAATGGAAAGCTGAATGAATGTAGAATACAAACATAAAGGAATAGCAATGTTTTCCCTTTCAGTATTGCACAAAAGCAAATCAAGATCTTATTTTCTGCACCCCTCAAAATTAAGGGTCAACAGGGGTCAAATTTGCTGCAGTTACAGTGACAACATAACATGTGGACCCATTCAGCTGGCCTACATGTATATACATGGAGCATAAACCATGCTTAATTGATGCAAAGTCATTGTGAATATGCATACTCTATGTAGATGGTGTCATCAATTATTTTTGGTAAAAACTTCTGATATTCAAAGCTTTAGATTTTGAGTATTCTGAGAGCTCTTGCTCCTCTGACAGGTATCAAATAACATATAATTGATATTCTTGTTATCCATTGCTTTCCATTGATATATATAATTCATCTATTTCAGTCAGGGTCTTTAACCCATTGCCTATGGGAACCGGTGGTTGCTGTATTAAGCCTATGGGAATGAGAGAAATCAGTAGTCAACGGCTTAATTTAAAAATGCATGTGTATTTTGTGTGTGAGCCATGAGTGATTTGGTTCTACTTACATTTGGGAGGTGATGTCGGGTAATCATCCTTGAAAATCATTCTCAGTCTGTACAATCCCTCTTCCCATGGTGTCTGTAAAGTGACAAATGAAAAATCATTTCTTAGCTTGGAAAACTGGTGTCAAACTGTGGAATTACAAACAGCAGCAACAAGAAACTGTCATAAATTGTTAAGGATGAACATTTTAAAGACAATAACCTTTAAGTACAAATCTTAAGTGTTGTGTCAACTGGCACTCAATCACTTTACAGCTAAATTTTTGCAATATCAAATAGAAATTAAATGAACAGATTAGCTTTATGACATCATACTGGCTATCATCAAGTATTTTGCAATTAAAAGTTGGCTTACTTTTATGTTACAATAGCTATCAGTATGCATTTTGCCTCAACTGAATTAGACTTGAGTGAGTCGAGTCATTTTACTGACTAAGTTCTCAGTAAAATACTGACTTAAATCAAGAACTGAATTTAATATCAGTGCAAAACTCCTCTTTAAGTTGCAATGACTCCACTCTATCAAACAAATTTATGCGTGAAGCTGTGGATTACATTTGTTTCTCACGCTCTTCCAAAACCATTTTTTTTAATAACTCTTCATTGAATATATCATCCACCTGATTATTTCTTGGTATCTATTTCTTTGGAAATAGCAACTCTATGTATCCTTTCCTTTCACCATGAAAGCCACATATTCATAGCTATTTATAAATGTATAAGTAGAATATTCCATGTAGAGGGTCGTTCTATGGTAGACATCCTGTTTGACCATATTTCATTTCAGCAATAGTATTTTTTTTTATCACCTATCAATAGTACATTAAAAAGGGTAATCCAACCTTAATAGCAAATTACTGAGAGAAATTAGAAAGATCATAGTTACAGACTGGTGAACGTTTGAACTTAAAGGTAATACAAAGTTTCGGGAAATTTTGAAAATTGGGTGGATAGTGAATCTCTACCATTTTGATATATTTGAGTGCCCCTGTGGATGTATTATAAGCACTAAAAAAATTGGCCCCTAAAACACTTCTGTTTTCGAAAAAAATTGAATATAAAAATTTACCGGTGCTCCCAGGAAATTTTGATAAATTTCAAATAGCGCCTATGGCTGTACAATGGTAGCTGCGACCATGAAAATCTCAGAATATGTAGTTGTGATATATAATTTCCAAATGGGAATAGCTAATTGGTCGATTTTAGTTAAAAAACATTGTTTTATAGCTTAATTAATATCTTGACCTTGAGAGGGAGCTATACGACATAAGAAGTTTATTATTTACAATTTCATAATTTTAGACGCGATTTCAACCGCGACAACGATCAATGAATATTGTAGGAACGCATACGCTTCCAATATGTTAATTTGAACCAAATTCATGACCCCATACCAAAACTTTGTAATACCTTTAATCAGACAAAAAGCTTAATGAATATTTGAAAGTTCTAATCACTAAAACATTAATTGATGATATTTATGTACACAAAAGGAGAGTTTTTTTTTGTGTGTGACTACATGTACTTCGCAATCCACTGACTAAATTACCAATTTGAAAATTAAAATTTGGGATCTCATATTTCAAATATTCAAACTCTCTTAGAATTGTTTTGATTTTTACTTCAAGCTTTCGCAATTCTTGTTTCAGTTTTTTTTTTCTTTCCTAAAAATGTACCAATTGCAAAGGTTGGATTGCCCTTTAATATCATAAATCATTTTTAAATTGATACTTGATAATTGATACTTACGGAGTGCTTCCCTGGAATTGCTGTTAGTTGACGGATGTGTGTTTGAACGTGAAAGGGGGGGGGGGAGGGGTGAAAAGGGTGGAAGAAAAAGAGAATAAGGAAAATTAGATCAATTACCAGCAAAGATGTTACAGATAATTTTCCTTTGTAATTTCACCAGATTTAAGATCACAGAGAGCTAAAGACGGATCAACATTTTGACAAACGATGTGATCTTTATTTAAACAAAGCCTTGCCTTGCATAGTTCAACCTGTATCTCTTTCTAACCTATGATTTGTAATATCATATCCGATATATATGGTTTTCTGATTATAGCTTAGGACTCGCTAGGAGTCATGTGACCATCTGATACAATTGCTCTATAAGCCAAGTCTGCCAAGAGGTTTCTAACCAATCTCCCTTGCTGGTCATTGGCAGGTTTTTTCAGGGTCATGAAACATCAAAATCTTTTTCAGATTCATATTTATATTTCTAAACTGATTGTGTACATATCTAGTGATAACATTTCCAAAAATCATGCTGCTTACCGGTAAACAATTCAATTTTGATGCTCAAAGTACAAACTAGTACACTGATTGGGACATGAGCCCAAAACTGGTGAGAGCCACTGCTCAATTAAATGTTTAATACTTAAAACTCTTACTGTACTTTTGGATTCAAGCTTTACATATCAGTACAAGCATACCTCATCAGTACAGACTGTAGGCCCCTATCTAGAGTATTAATCCTATGCCTCAATCACACCTTGGCGTATTCGGCTTGAGTACTGCTGCGTATATATGGCAAGCCGTTTTAACATTTATTCCTATTTCTTGATATCAAGAATGTTGAATTACCATTGCTTTTAAAAAAAATTATTTCTATTTCTTGATATCAAGAAATTGAATCCTTGGTATCAAAATTTCAATTCTTGATATCAAGAAATCATTTCTACATATCAAGAAATAGGAATAAATGTTAAAACGGCTTGCCATAAATATGCAGCAATACGCAAGCCAAATACGCCAAGGTGTGACTGAGGCACAACACCTCAGTCATCAGTGTGACCGAGCTACTTAAGAGCGTAGTACGGATCTCACATAGAAACACCCATTTACTTACCACACTCCCAGTTCATGAGGTTTAATGTACCATCAGCATTCTTAGTTGGCTTTGCTACAAAACCCTGTGGGAATGAATCACACAAATATAATGGAATGTAAATCTGTGCCATCATCATTACCTCTCATCTGGGCAATTCCATACTGGTTGTAACAAATTGACATATAATGTAGCTATTTGGCTATATTTTGATGAAAAAAAAAAAAAAATTATGAATCTTTGAAAGTCAAGATTACTAACAAAAAGGAAAAATCTATTAGTGTAATACTGTAGCAGTCATGTTCACAATTTAAGGTAAACTTTCTCATTTGTTTTGTTACCAATTACCAAATGGAGAAATAATTATTATTTCAATGCTTTATTTCCATCTTGGAAACTTCAAACTTGTAGCAGAGTAATAGATTAAAGGAGTCATTTAATCAGGTAATCTAGCAATGTAGATGTAAGTTAATTAAATTCTGCTTACATTGATTTTGTGTACTTTTTACACTAACTACATGTAGTGCAGCCTCACTGAATGATGGACAGTCTCCCACAGGCTTGGGCCTATGAGAGACAAATTTAGAAAGTGACAACCATACACCCATTTCCTTGCTATACTTACAAAAGGATGGTCTTTTCTCCATGCTTTTCGCTCCTCAGAAAGTCGTGTGATCGCGATACCCGACATGTTGCTGATTTATAATCTTCTGTAGTCTACTTTTCTGGCTCTCCCACTTCTCTGTAACAGCTATGGCTGACTAGGAGAAACAAACAAATACATGTAAGTGCATGAAGAAAAAAACTTCAATGGTTTCACAATCTGGTTGACTGTTCTGGGCTCTCTCTTATAATTATAAAGAGTTGCGATTGATCCGAATCAATCTCATAATCTCACACTTCAGTTCTGGTTAAAACTTAAAAGACTTTGTGGGAGAAAGAACAAGAGTCCACTGGCACTGTCTAGTATTATCAGTATCACTTCTAATACTACCGTAATACTATTTCTACTTCCAAGTTCTAGTGTCTAGTGAACTACGAAGCCAGTGTGCAATGGTTCTTTGTCGTCGCCTTGTTGTTATTACAAAATAAAATAAAAACATCACAATCAGATGGTGATCAGTTGGGGCGCTGTTCCGAGAATATGGATCGCCCGCACAAACGAGGATTTCCTTGTAATACACCTGGACACATCACTTTGTAGCTGCAAGGAAAAGGCGCTAGGCCCTATATCAAATATCTTTTGGATTGGATTGGATTGGATTCCTAAAGAATAAGAATCATATGCGGTCTATTTTTGGGGTGCGCTCTGCGGTGTAGGGTTCCCAATCTGCGCGCTGGTAATGCGAAAAAACAGATTCCGTGTAATAAAATACCCCCAATTCACAGTCTACTTTCTGCCTTCCCGAGGATTTATTATTTTATTGTTCATAAAGTGAAAGTCTCTGCACTGAGCTGAGCTGCGTCCCTCAGAAATGCATCATGGATGAAGCATCATCGCGGAATATGTGTTTTGCATCGCCAATGCACAGATCGTTGATAGAGATGATTCACAAAAATGCAGACGATCGTCATTTTGTTCAGACGCGATTTGTCCGCGTTTACAAGGATATCCTCGTTTTATGCGGACGATCCTTATTCTCGGGCCATGCAGCACCCCATAGTTGTTCCACCGGTGATCCATCTGCACGGTTCGCTCTATCTAAATAAGTTAAACTTAAGCCTTTGCATAGATCTAGCCCTTAAATTTTGACAGTCGTGCATGAGGCATGACAGTCACCGAGTCAGTTGTTATTCATTGACATTGTTGCCTGTCAATAATTTATTTTATTCATTTTTATTGAAATCATCTCCTTCGCTTCACAAACAATTTTGCATTTGATTATAATAAAATCAGAAGAGGTATTTCTTACCTTAATAAATAAATGGTCACTATCACAACCGAGTAAACCGAAAATCAAAAAAACAATCATCAACTTCAAGCGAAGTAAAATAAACACAATGAACATGATTGATGGATGAGAGACATGCATGATGATGACAAAAATAAACAACAAAAAAAAGACTAAAAATATGAAAATACTTACCCAAAATGTAAAGGTTAAATGGCCGAAATGCAGCTAGTAATCTAGTTTCGATAACTGAAAGTTATCAAAAAATGCGTACATCAAGTAGTAACCTAAAACATCTAATTTTTGGCCAAGTTGACACGACAAAAATAGTGAGGACGTAATTTCCATTCAATGGGATTGTAAACCGTGCGTTGTAAACTGCGCCTCATTCATAACGCACGTAAAAGTGATTCGAGAAATCGCATTCACGTACCGAGCATGGGCAATTTTGTGTACCAAAAAATGAACGTGAAATCAGCAAAGGTCACGTGATTTGAATGAACCGTGTCATGGATCACTGAGAGAGGGCGCAATAAATTTAATCCATAGCCAACATGATAAGATAAAAAGGAATATTTTATATTTGAACTATGATAAAGGGGGTTTGAAAATGTTGAATTTCAAGTTGATCTATGCACAGCGTGTAGTGTGGATTAAGAAACTGCTTGGTGGCAATGATGACATGAAATGGAAACAATTTTTCGAATATTCAGAACGGTAGGAGGAAAGTTAATATTTCTTTGCAATAATCCCAAAACAATCAATATTAGGCACCCAATCTATACTATCTGGAATTATCTAAAGGAGAAGGAATATATTGTAAAAGAAACACATAATTAAAATCAAATTATCTTTAACAATACTTTTATTGAAGGTAGGATAATTCCTTTTAATGCAAAATTATTTCATGTGAACATTTTTCAAGTTAAACATTTTGACGGACGCACAAGGTGATATGAGATCAGGGGACTATTTCATAAGGAAAGGTCTTAATGTATAACGATCTGTTTTTTCTTAATGATCTATACGCCAAATTGCCAGCTGCCTGGAAGAGTAAGAGAATTTGCAGAGGGAGAGATGATACTCTAAATGACACTGTTGATCTTTCCAACATTAACTTTATCATTAACAAAACAGTGTATTCTTTTGAGTCTGTCTCTTCCAAAATGCTCTATAACATTTGTATTGCTATAATACAAGATGCATTTGCTTTTAAACATCCAGAGGTAATAGCTTTAAATCTAGATTAGTCGGAAACATGTTTCTCAATCCCCAGATGTTCTACTCTAGATGGGAAGTTAAGGGAATTTCAGTATAAACTTTTACATAACATCATATTTTGTAATGATAAATTGTATCTTTTTGGATTAACACAGTCAAATTTATGTTCCTTTTGTAGAAAAAAAGTAGAAACCTATCGTCATATCTTCTTTGAATGTTCTGAAGGATCCGGAATATGGAATGAGATGGGAAACAGTTGAAAGATGTTTCAGTTTCTTAATATGCAATGGATTGATGTGTTGCTTGGTTTCAGAAAAAATATGAAAGATAATATATTGTTAAATCAAGTATTGATTTTGGTCAAATATATGATTTACAGTAATCGTAAAAATGGAAAGTTCCCAACTAGTAAAGATATATGTAAGGCTGTATAGAGAACTAAAAAAAAAAGTTGAACATGAAAAAGCAAAATTAAAGGACAAACTGCCAATACATTATCAAAAATGGAAAAATTTTACCCCTTATATAAGGCAGGGGAACTGATTATATTGTAATTCCTGTTCACTCCCTCACTTTTTCATCGATTCGGACACTTATCTGCTATCGTGTTTGCTTGTTTTTTTTATATTTTATATATATATATATATATATATATTTAAAAATAATAGTTTAGTTACAGACCTCCACTGATACAAGACCCTCATATAGTTATAATGAAAAATGCACCATATCATTATATGTAAACATAACAAATTTTGTTATCATGGGTTATGAAGCAGCACCTTCACCTTATACTTTTTGTTTATATAAGAAAATCTTTGTTCAGATTGCTTAATTTATATTGAACTAATTAATTTGCATATTATGTTGTAAAAATTTTCCTTTTTATAATGTTGTATCCAAAAATATTAATATGAAGTATTACCGTCACCTTTTCCTTTTTTAATGGAATTGGAGCACATTCTGTACACTTGATTGAATGTGTACTATATTAGTTTGGAAAATATTTTTTTAATATGTCTGTGTTTATAATGTATGAGACAATGTACTAGTATGTTTATACTGTAAGAACAATTGTGTTCCTATCCATCATTTTGTATAATTATGAAGATCTGAATAAAGGCAAAAAAACTTTAAAAAAAAAAACTTACACGATCCTATCATTGAATAATATTAATCCGGTCTTTTAATCTTATGTATATTCTCTTTTATTGGTTTTCAATCCTCTATTCCCTTCTCTAGTCATTTTCATCATACATCTAACTCTTTATTTGCTTATTTAACATTTTTGGTGCTTTGACGAAGCTCATCGGTAATTGGATCAACTCCCAATCCTAATAGAGTATAACATTTTTCTTTAATTCGATATATATATTTTTTATTCATTATACTTTGACGGTTTATATGATTTTTGTGTTGGCAGCGTGTACTTTCTGTTCACAAAGTTAGGCAATCTATATGTGTATACGCTAATTGCTGATGAATAGCGTTTTCCTGCCGTCAGACCCAATAAATAATTGTATTCTTGATAACAACAAAATATAGTCATGTTGGGTGCCATATCTTAATTGTCTTTTTCTCTCCGAAAAACAAAATTGTTACAATAATTTACACAGCTATACATTGGGCCTCAGGAAATTTAGAAGGATGTGTGGCTTTAGTTTGAAACAATTGACCCTTTTCTTTGATGATGTTTAAAGTGGGCCTAACGACGTGCATGAGCTGACACATTTACTAAAAAACTATTCATCATTAACCAGTAGTTCAAATTATTTAATTTTTAATTGGTTCATCTTTCTTGCATTTACAGGAAAACAGTCATTAAATATGATGAAATAAAATCATCATAATTTATCAAATATAGTTGCTGAATAAATCCCCTTTTCTCGATGTTATACCTTGCATGGGTAACTTCGAGATCAAAGGGCTTATTAAGATGAGTTAAATATGTTTATCCATGTTTAATGTCCATTAAACCACGGAAATACTGTGCTCATTTCGACCCAGCGACGGTAGGCTTAAATAAAGTGGAATACAGGCCGACCAAAATTTCCAGTCATGTAATTAATGAAAGGTTTTCAAAATATAGAAAATTAGGGTCACCTGACACCATAGAAATTCAATACACCCATATCATCAAAACACTTAAAAAAACTAAAATGTAATAATTATAATGCATGTTAATGACTGCCTATGGGAGCAGGAACTCCCTGGTCGGAATAGGGGTTACAAGCCACCCAAATAATGTTATTCTGTAAGTTTGGGGTTCTACGATATACAGTGTACCTGCCTTATCATCATAGTACATGTATTATTTTGGTGTGATTTTCTAGTCTTATGATGATTAAAAAAATGTTCATTGTCATGTTTGTTTCTCTCTTCGCCTCTAATGAGGCATTTATTAAATATTCATCAATAACATAATTTCACAATCAATTTAGCAAAAACACTAATGGAATATCAATAATATACATTTTTTTCCAGAAACAATGAATGAAGCAAAATTGCAGGAAAATTTATATTTTGTACTGTCAAATGTTCATTTATGTTTAGTCTGTGAGTCATTTCTTTCCTAAATAATTAATGTAGAGGTGTTGTGGACGAGTGGATAAGTCGCCGGACTGTGGATCACAAGGTCCGTGGTTCAAGTCCCGCCGCAGCACTAATGTCCTTTGGCAAGACATTGATCTACATTTGCCACTCTCCACCCAGGTGTTAAATGGGTACCCGGTAGGATGCGAAAGCTAATGTGGTTAGATTAGCAAGTGTGCGCATGTAAAAATAACGCCTGGCTGGAATGCTCCCCAGGGAGTGGAGAATGTGCATACATTGTGTGCGGGTAAGCCTGAATCCAATGACCGGGGTAATAATATACTTATCTGTAAAGCGCTTTGTGAGGGCCTCCGGTCCTGAAAAGCGCTATATAAGAACGAGCTATTATTATTATTATTATCAAATTCGAATACCTTTCATTATACCCATACTAGGAAAAATAATCATATTATAATAGACCAAATTACAATCGTCATTATTTAATCCATTTTGGTTTGCAAATTCATTTTGAGTAAGACAATGTTATCTATCTTTATTTCAAGATTAAAAGCATGTAAAACTGAGTCCTTTAAATACTCTCAAAGGAGGTTTTGTCTGCCTTACATGAAATAAAAGCATGAAAAATATCTTCAGTTACTTTGCATTTTAAACAAAGGTCGTTGTATAGAAGACCTGGTAGCATATCATATAAAAGCTTTAAATTAAATTCACGTAAATTAAATTCTTTAATCCCAATCAATCAGAGGACCAGTTCACGTCCTTCTGCACAATATTTTCCCAATACAAACAACATTTATTAATTTTAATTTGTTTAAAAATTATAGTTTTATAGCACTGTTTAATACTCAAATGGCTAACAGGCTTAACTGTTTTCCCAAATACAATGTGGGGGGAAATGAAATTATGATTTTTGAATCCTAAAGGTATCATATGCTTATCATTTATCCATTTTTGGAATTGATTTTTGTAGCTTAGTATAGTCAAAAATCTAAAGTTGTTTACTTCGTATCAGTAGTTTTAAGACGGATATATAACTCATTTACTGAAACAAAACTTCGATTTTTAAGGATATCCTTTAAATATATAATACTTCTTTCATACCAGTCTCCATAACATAACATTTTATTTTCAAAAACAATATTTTGATTAAAACCATAAAATATCTTTGTCAACATTTTTCAGTGCCTGGCATTCAACTGATGTGTAATTGTTTATGAGGTACCAAGCATGTAATATTTCAATGTCTTTGTTATTATTATTATTTGGCTCCCATTTCGATCTCGATGTAATGCTCAAGGTTCTGACATGTATAATACTGAACAAATTATTCTGAGTCACATGATCATCATTTCCCTGGCTCAATAGTAGTTTCACTCTCTCACCTGATTAGAAAGAAATTTATCAATAATAATAATAATTAACTGGATTTATATAGGGCTTAATACGGAATACCGTCTCTAAGCGCTTTACAGATATTATTACCCCGGTCAATGGATTCATTCACGCACAATGTGCACCATCTCCACTCCCTGGGGAGTATTCATACCATATGGTCACCGTGAGGGCATAGGCAATTACAAACACAAATGCTTTTGTCATCCTACCAGGTCGCCATTTCTCTCTAGGGTATTGAGTGGCAAATGTAAATTAATGCCTTGCCAAAGGACATTAGTGCAGTGTAGGGGATCGAACCACGACCTTTGAATTGCAAGTCAAGTGCTTTAAGTACTCGACTACAAAACTTCTACATTATCAATCCCTTGTCCGTATATATATATATATGAGAAAGCAATATATACAGAGGAAATATGGACATTTCAAATACTTTCAGGATTATCCTCATTTGTTAAAATCTTGGAGCACAATACTTGTTAAAAGAAAAAAAAATCTTACAGAATAACTGTATGATCAAAAATTAATCATACCCTTTAAGAACAAGAAATTAGTAACAACCAGGGGTCCCTAACTAAATCAGATTCATAATATCATATGAAATAGCAAAGTAAAAACAGAAAACTTATAAGATTACATGCAAATATTTTACTAGAGATATATACTCTACAATAGCAACAATACAAAAAGAAAGTGTTACATATGCACATGTATTAAATGGTAGGATATGGGGGGGGGGGTACAACTTGCCTTGCCTGTGCCAGCTTTAAAACCAAAGTTGTGCATACTCCAAATAGACATGAACAAGTTATCATCCCTGGGTAATTTTCTCTGCCTTTATAGTTCTTTTTTTAGATTTAAAAAACAAAAAATATTACCTCTGCCCCCCCCTAAAATAATAATGAACCAAGATCTTTAATCATTACCGGTAACCAAAAACATTTCAAAACCATTTTCAAGGCCACATACATGACTCCAACTGTAAAACAAAAGTAAGAAGGGACCAGCCCTGTTTCCCCATCTTCACTCTTGCCAAGAATATTCAGAACATTTAAAAAAGATGATATCACACTGGAAAATATGCACATTTCAATTATCAATATAAAAAATAAGAAGGAAATAAAACTGCTGGTAGCTCAATAAGAAATATATGAAGGAACCACCAAGAGTAGGCAATTACATCATATGTTTCTAGCAGACAGAAACATTCATGATTGAAATAAATCATGCTTGATATACTTATAAGATACCAGCAAAATTCCCATAAAACAAACAACATAGCACCATGAGCGTCATGCCTGACGGACCTGGTGCACTTTATAAGAAGCCACCATTATTATTATTATTATATGATCTTGACACCTCTCTATTCATTTTCTGTAATCTGCAATCATCATCAATGGATGAACGTAGTACTGAATCACCTCTGTGAGCAAACACGAGTTAAATACATGTACATGCTACAATTATACAAAACATAAACAATCAGAAAGATTGATTCATGTGCAGCATAGCTCAAAACTGGGGTTTGGCACAAAAACATGCTTCAGCGACATTTCCTATGGTAATATTCCTACATGAACCGAATTTCCAACCCTGGATCAAACAATGATCCTTCACCCTAAACCTTACCTAAAACCCACTTGCTATTCTTACATTGTATCTTTGTCTTTTTGTTGTCTTTTCTCAAATGTATTCAATACATTTCCCATTTTCCTCTCTTACTCTCAAAAAAGTTAAAAATATGAACATGGTATTCCCATAAATAAATTGTATGTACAGACAGCAACATTCAGAACAATTTAGAAACTTTGTTAGTTCCAATTTATTATGATTTTTTATAATTAACAAGCTATTGCTGTTGAATTCTGATGATGTACTACATGAAATGTGTTGCATAGATGTAGTTGAGAACACTCGGGCCTTTAGAATACTTTATCATGTCTAAAACTTTATCCTTTGCCTATGCATCCATTGGCACTCTTCTGTTGGCCAGACGAAGAGACTGATTTAAAGGTTGCACATGCATTAAAGGCCAATCCAACCCTTGTAATAAGTAGATTTGCATGAAAGCAGAAAATAACAGAAACAGAATGGCAAAAGCTTGAAATGAATCGGACCAATAGTAAGGACGTTATGAATGTTTGAAATATGAGATCACTAAGTCGATGCGAATCTCAAATTGGTAGTTTGTTAGTGAATTGTGACGTAGGACTTGGATAACTCTCCCATTTTCGGCCAGTACAAAAATATCACTAATATCTGTTTTTCTTGTATAAGTTTCTTCTCCCTTGGGGCACTACTCAAAATATATTATAGATAGCATATTATTATAGGTCCTCAAAGAAGAATAGACCCTCCTGAGCAATTAATTTTTGACAAATTTAAAGTTTAGTCATTTTATATGTTGGAACAGACAGGAAAGTAGTCCGGCACTACATTACATTAACATTACCGCTTCAGCCAATTTGTAGTGCCCATATGTATAGTGATTACAACTTTAAAGGCCCACTGCACTACTTGCGCCCTCTATATAACAAACAATGCCTAATCGGTGACCATTGGTCCCCCATGAGCCTCTTTTTCTTATGTTAACTGAGAGCTGAGTTGATGAGATAACCACCTGTCCAGTGACCTTGCAGGGCAGTCTAACCCCTCCTGTAAACTATGGCAGATAAGCTTTAAAAAGTTCATAACTTTCTAATATTTAGTCAGATGTAATTGAAACTTTCATCAGTTTGCTTCTCTGATTTTTCTGCTTTCGCTTAGAGTAGATGTCTATTTGGGTTGGATTTCCCTTTAAAACCAAGCAAGATTCATTGATGACTCATATGAAGAGGTGGCTGCCTTCTCTGTGCAGTACCCCATATTTGCCACACACTTGACCTTTTATAATACCAGGCTAGGTTTAAAAGAGGGGGTAAGGTAAGGGCCTGTATATTTTGGTGGATAAAATTATGAAATGCAAGAGATCAGGGACAGACAATAACTGGAGGGCACGAGAGATAGAATCATCTTTTTTTTCCACATTGCCTTTCCCCACTCCCTTTATCATTCTCCTTTTTTCTTTTTTTTCCTTTTATCCATTCAATGGAAGGGGTGGGGGTAGAGCACATGCCCCATGCCCTCTGTAGCTACATCACTGGTATAAAATACAGATACATGCCATGTTCTGACACCCCTATATGAGCCTTTCTTTTCAATACTAAATACTTCATTAATCTACAGAATACCATTTTGTTCTTCTTCATGAGGTACAAAACTGCCTGGTACTAGGTCCAATTTTTTACCAAGCTGCTCACAAATTATGTAAGACCCAAAACAGTTTCGAAATTTAACTGAAAGGTATGAAAATGAAAAAAAAAACAGCTTGATGTTTGATTATTATTCATTGGCAGAGTGTCTTTAAAGCCTGTCTGCACTACTTATAGCTATTTGCACCCTCTATATAGCAAAGAATGCCAAACCGGTACACATTGGTCCCCCATGATCCTCTTTTTCTTATGTTAATTGAGAGCTGATTTGATGAGATAACCACCTGTCAGTGACCATGCAGGTAGAGGTCTAATCCCCCCTGGCCAAACTAGTCCAGACAGGCTTTAATATAATCTACCTTGCAATATGTATGTACACAAAAGATCAAGACGTTCAGACCTAGACTTGGACTGACAGCACATTCTGCATGAAAGCAGAGACTGTATCCTCCATACATAGTCTTCATAACTATCCTTTCTATCCGGGATCCGATCCCACCGGTGCCACCAAACTCATTTCATAAGTCGTTATGGGCAGAAATATGTACAATCCAAATCGATGGGTGAGAAGTGAATGCTATTCGAGGAATGGTATTTAAGAAACCATACTATCCATCTCAATATTACAAACTGGCCAATTGATTCTTTGGCTTTTAATAGTGTGAGTTGCACTGTCATTAACAGGGTAGTAGAGCACGACTTAAAATAAACACAAAGCAACAAAAAAAGTAAAATGAAGAAAAAAATGGGAGTACACATCTTATATTTAGAGTTGGATGGTCGCATCAGATTCCAGGGTTATGTTATCCGGTTCCAATCTCCCCCTGCTCCACATCCATGATTATGAGATCCAAATATGGAGATTGTGAATTCTGTGCTTGTTCTTGGTTCCACTCCTGGGTCTGAGTTTTCATTCATGCACCCCGAGGAGGGAACTAGTCACAGAATGTCCATACAATTACTAAAACATGATGAGCACAGTCCCCCAAATTATCTGGGGATAGGACCGATGATCATATCTATGATGACTGGTCCAAACAATGAAGTTACTTTCAGGAATAGTTCTTGGGCTTGGTCTTGGGCCTGGTCAAGGTTTCTATCTAACCCGCCCCAGGGGAGGGGACTAGTCACCACATGTCCGAGCAGTGATTGAATCGCGAGAAGCAGCAGAGTCCCCAGAAGACAATAGGCATAAGACTGATAATGAGTGCCAACCACATCACCACGCTGATCTGTCCTGTTGATGTGCCACTGCAACAAGAGAAGGATATTCAAAGAAAATAAATCATTACTACAGAGATGCCAACCTCTTGACACAAAAAAACAGACTGAATATCCTTCACACAATCAGAGTTTTGAGAGAAATATAATTTTCACGAAAACTCAGCACTACCAGTGGCCCGTTGGCCCTGGGCCAGTAGAATGTCAGAAAAATGTTTTACTGGTAATTAAAAATTTGCTCTTTCATTAACATTTAATGAGAAAATTGTAAAGCAAAGTTTTTGTTTTGGTTGCGTGGGTTTACTTGTACATGTTTCTAAGCGAACTATTTTTTTTTTTTTTTGAAAAAATGAAAAGTCATATTTTCAAGAGGCGATATCATTTTATCCTATTTCACTTTTTTCATCGTACTAAATACGATAAAATCGTACTGGTTGGCATTAAAAAACATGAAATGAATAAAAAGAGAACATTTTTAGAAGGGCTACTAGACGTCGTAATAGGTCCAACAGCATGATCCAACATAATTCTCAATGACTTCAAACTTGCAGCTTCAGTTACTGGTGGCAATTGCAGCATAGAATGAACTGACCCCCTCCCACCCCCCCCCCCCCCCCCCCCCAGCCTTCCATCTACAAAGTGTACAGAATACATTTTTAATTATATTTAAAATATGAAACATGGCTTTTAGTCCAAATATTTCACATATTTCACAAAAATATATAACCTCTCTCAGGGAGATTTCTGTCTTAAATTTCCATAAGATTAGTACTGGTAATGCCTTGTAAATACTTGAAACCATCATTCGGTAAAGCAGCAACTGGTACATGTTTAAATTACAGTTACATTAAGAGCAAGTTCATGTAAATCTAATTCAAATTAATTTCTGATAATAATGACATTCTATGCCGTACTTACCTTTTTACTACTCCACAACAGCGACATAAGCAGATTATTAACCACACATCAACAATTAAGACACCACTAAGCTCCCTGAAAAGATAATCATACATACAGAGAATGAAAGAGGGAATCTATGACAATGTAGGCTTACAGACTCATCCACACACATATGGTGCAATGCCAGACAAAAAATGTTGTGTCAAAATAAAATGACATCAATAGGTTCAGTGTTCTTCACATTTCTGTATCATGTATCAAATGTATGATTATTAGAAGTGTTTTTCATTTGCACAGCAGCACAACATTTACCCCGTTTGATCTTTATTTATCATTTATTTACCCACAAAATAATCTTATATTACAGCCGCAGGTGTTCACTATTATCATTCTTCTTATTATTTTTCTTAATCTTCATTGTTTTCAGGAGACATTCCCACCATGATATTCTTCCAAACCAGCTCATTCGGTAGAGCAGTGGTCTCGTAATCCGGTGACCCGGGTTCTAAATCAAGTCGATGCGCTAGTGCCCTCTGGTAAGGCATTAATCCTTATTACCAGGTCCATCGGAGAGGACCTAAAGCCTTCGGCCGTCTGGTTGCTTACTTACAAGCATTTATGCTTTCTTAGCAGTCAGGAAAAATAAGCACCATAATCACCATAAGTTTTCCTCTTTACAAGAATTTATTTAACCATCTCTTTTTGCTCACCTTCCTTCTTCATATCTCAGTGGGTTCATCAATCTGTCCTCCATGTAATGAATAACCGTTCCTCCTAAGACGCAGGTACAGATCAAGCAACCAATGAGATGAACGATAGCTATCAGTCTCCACCAACTCTTCTCTGGAATGAAAAGGGGAAATATAAATAAATACCAGTATTTGTGAGACCAAAGACTAAGATCGACTTTAAGTTGAACTTAACTATATAGCAGACCATTCATGCTACTGTTCACTCTCACCATTATCATCTTTAGATAATATTTTCCCCCTCAATAATGAATTATCGAAAATTCTGTAGATTTGTGACCATAATTAGTACGTCCCTTGAGAGACCAAAGCTAGTAAATTGTGAGAGAAAACAGTGACCTGAAGGGCCTGTCATAGTTAAGTTCAACTTAAAGTCGATCTAAGACTTTGTGAAACACCCACCAGACACTGTATATGTACCTAATAATGAAATTTGAAGGTAAAATGTGCATTGCAACATAAACTATTGAGAGTAGTGTACCATTGAAACTTGAAAGGTAATACATAGACTTATATTGTTATCCTCTTGTTCCATTCATAGACACATCTAAGAGAATAAATTTAAATGATTTGATCCTTAAACCAACCAGATACACAAATAAAGGCACATTTCACTAAATCTAGAATCATTCTTCCCCTCTCCTTCTGTCTTTCTTTTTGTTTCTCTTCTGTTCCTCCTCTTCTTCTTCTTCCCTTTACTCCCCTTTATTCTCTCCTTCTTTCTCTCTTTTCCTATCTTCTTCTTCTTTTTACCTATTCTTTCTCTTCTTGATCTCTTCCTTCCTAATTTTCATGCTCTAATGTCCACTCAAATGCACATTTTGAAACAAAATACCTGGGGCATGTTTTCGATGCTACTCATGAATTATTGGAAAGAATCTGAATTGTGATTTAATTTTCCAAGTGTTAATAAATTTATCAAGAATCTATACTTACCAACTATATCAGCATTCCAAACGATTGAGAAACAGAGAAGAGCTGGTACTAGATATACAGGCTGTTGAGATAAAAACAAAATGCAGCACTTGTTTATCAGAAAGTTCAAACTAAATACATCTTCTAATAAATAAAATTTGGCAGGTGTTTGAGAAGAAGAAATATTTCACATTTATGTACAGTTCAACTTCACACTGGCCACAATATCGAAGGTTGCTGGTGTTAGTTGTTATTTCATAAATCATCATGGAAACAAAAAGGTTTAAATTTAGCTAAAGGAGTCTTTGGGTTCTAGCCTTCATCCATTCCGAAAATTAAACAACGGTGCAAAAAGCATACTGATTCATGATAATCTCCAAGTCATCAATGACTCATCTTTAAATTTGAAATTCACTCACCATCCAAACATACGGGTCTTGATCGTTAACCTGCATCAAAGAGAAAGAAAAGGACAGAAAATTAATTCAACATGTACACCCCTGCATACAAGAGAGACAAATGCTTATCAGAATGGTTTATTAATTCACCAAAACATGTAAATTATTCATCTTTTACCTCTCGAAACTTCAAGCCTTTATCAGACAAACAAACAAATAAAACCAATGTGGGACATGTTCTACAGTACAACTCTGATCAATGAGCACATAATTTTTCACATTTAATAGTCAGACTATACATAGAAAGTTGGTCTTATAGATCACAGCTTATAGGTATAAACCATCTGTTCGTAAAAACTATGAAGCGATATCCATGATTCTCACTTTAGACTCGCTCCTGTGGTTAACTGCCATAAGTTTTAAACCACAACAAATAAAATAGTACTATGGCAAAATAAATTGCTCAGCAAAATGTGCTTCATTTTATCTTATTACACAGAGCAGTTAGAAGTTACGCGCTTTACAGGGCATTTGTGATAAATCTTTTCTCACCTCACTTTGCCAGTCATTGACATGTAGAATTGTTTTGTTTTGATGACAATTTTGAAACAGAAACACAAGATTCAAATTCAGAGCTTGAGTCAATATTTTTAGCTCAGAGCCATTGTAGTGTGCATGTACTCTGTTCTCACGCAATGTGCCATTCAATTACAACTATAGTGTACTTGCCAATGGTATTTGCCATATGTGCAGCATTTTTGTTCCTTTCTATAGTTAACTGCATGAGGGGCCTGTTGCATAAAACTTTACCATTAATTGTAACTTCCATGGAAATCTTAATTTTATAAGTTGTTGTGTGATGTTGCCATGGTAATTAAAATTGATGATAAGGGCTGTGTCTCACAAAACCGTCATAAGTACAAGTTCAGCGACATCCCACTGAAATGCGTGTATTAAGTTTAACACGCGTTTCAATAGGATGACGCTGAACTTGTACTTATGACGGTTTCGTGAGACGCAGCCAAGGTTACCATCAGTGGTAAATTGTATGTAACAGGGCCCTGGTGTGAACAACCCCTAGGTCTCTCACCTGTACTAAACCTGCTAGTGTGAAGAACACACAGGTGATGACATTGATTAGCATCCATAACTTGGCAGCACTGCTATTTGACCCATACTGAGGCTTTTGACCTGGCCCGGTATCGGAAGCCATGTTTGACCTACGACCTCTGATCGTGTGGTAGACTTGAAGAAGAGGTTCCCGACCTGGAGATGAAATACATGAATAAAGCAATCAGATCAATATTTGCATTTCTCGCCATGTTCAACATAACGCACTCGGCAGAGGTGAACATTTTTGTTATGTTAATTGTGCAAGAGTCAAATCTATTATCAGACATCAGGAACAAGTGGAAGGTAAGCAAAGCTCTATCACTCTGGTAACAAATTTCTACATTTTTAGTTAGATCTAGTCTAAATTCTTGACCAATTACGAAATGTACACGAGTAAAATGTAGATTCGATCCTCCAGCTCCAGCTAACAAAACAAAGGCTGCAAAGGCAGTTTGCAAGGACAAGCCTCAATCAAGGTTTGTCATGTGCAAGAATGTGTGATATTATTTTCACATTCAAATGAGTCTTTATTTACATGGCTCTCCACACAAGGACTAGGATCATATTAATTTCATATTCACCAAACTATTGTATTAATTAAAGGCAAAGCTTACAATGATCACCACTGCAGCTCGTCAGCAACTTAACAGAAAAAAATCCCAAGCCCAAGGGCAAGGCAAAGATTTAATCTTCTTAATTAGTTTCTAGTGAGAAAGTATTTCCAAATGATAACCAAAACATACCTGATTGGCTAATTGACCTTGTGTGGTAGCTCAGACTAGACTGAGTCCCGTGATGGTGTATGGGCGGATTTATTTGGACTGAAACTCGTCGAATTCAATTGCAGTATTCGGCTGTCGTGCACTCTATCTTCATCCTGATCCTAAATGTAACTCACTTTTTACGTACGTGTATCATGCATTGTGTAGCTAGAGTATGGTATGCGCTTATACTTACGCGTGTGTACGGAGTGCCAAATGAAACATAATACAAAGTTTTGGTATGGGGTCATGAATTTGGTTCAAATGAACATATTGGAAGCATATCGTATTTCCTCACACCAACATCCAAGGTATAAAATTAGTAATATGTGTTTGTGTGGATGCACTAATATAGAGTATTTTTTAAAAAGTTAAATCATGAAAAATGTGAATTTTGATAAACTGTTTACATAAAAATCAATGATTACCAATATTCAGAAAATAGTATCAATTCTTCAAAGCGCATGAAAGATTTTGGAAATGAATGCACGCAATATGATACAAATCATATGACCTGGGCAAAAGCATGGGTAAATCAAGTTTTGGGGTATAAAAAAAAGAAATTAATGGGACAAATATATAAAGCAATTGCATGATAAATAGTGAGGCAATGACGTCACAAACTGATAACCAAATTGGCAATTTTTGTTGTGATTTTCTAAGTTCCATAGTTGTTCATGAACAAAAATTCATAATTTCCCTATATTAGTTATCCGATTTTACTCAAACTTTGTTTGCTCTGTTTTCTTGTTTTTTCTGCATCTATTAAAAGCAAATTATTTTTGGAATGGAATTAGACTTTACCATATTCTCTCACACCCAGTGGCGTAGACAGGTTCGTACACCTGGGGGGGGATGACTGGGCTGCCAACGCTAGTGAGGGCGCGAAGCGCCCGAGCGAGGGAGCGAAGCGACCGAGCGGGGGAGGGTGTGGGAGGGGGGTGTCCCCCCTCCCACAGTAGGGAGCTTTTGCAATTTTGAACTTGAAATCGTGCAATCTGATGCATACTTAATGAGGTAAAATAACACACACACACTCACGCACGCACACACACACGCACACACACACACACACACACACACACACACATACTACGCCTTGAATGGACAGACATGCATCGACAAGATCTACACACCGTGGCATACGAATACAGAATGGACTGACACATAGTATTGCATATTGAACCACACTACGTATTTATTTATCTCTGTGAATTTTGCTGTTACACCTCTTCAGAAAAAAACCAATGTCAACTGTGTACACGCAGGTATAGTCTTTGTTGTCTTGATAGGGGTATGTGGTTATGAATGAAAACAGTCTCTGTGGCCATTTGTGAATAGAACACATAAACAACAAACAAATAACGATTAAACTTTGAACAATATGTCTGTTCATTATAAAGCATAATGAATACGTACATACTATGCTTTTTTTTACCTCAAAGAAACAGGCATAGTATCCATAGATGGATATTGGCTGGCGGCTCATTAACATACAAAAAACATAAACAGTATCACTATGATCCATGGAGTAACAATACTGCTTTGTAAGTTTGTGAAGAAATCGGAACCATAACGGCATTGCATCGTTTCAAATTAGGGCATTATTTACTTCTATTTGATCTCAGTCTTATAATAGTAATAGTAATAATAATAATAATAACAATAATAATAGTAATAATAATAATAATAATAATAATACAAATAAAAAATAATACTAATACAAATAATAATGCTAATACTAATAGGTTCCTTTTATCTCGCATTTCAAGACAGGGTAAATTCACACTGCGCTTTACATGAAAAAAACTTCTTTAAACATTTCAAACTTATGTCTTCATGCATCAATCAACATACTTTAAATGAATACAAAACAAAGTGCATCTTAAATAAAACAAAAATAAATAAATAGTTAACAATACAGAAAAGATGTAGCTGCTGCAAGCTTAACAACAAACTAATGTATACCAGTCAGTCCTGATATCAGTATTAGTGTAACAATAGTCATATAGTGGGACCATGAAGTTGAACAATTCATGATTATACATAATTATATATGTTTGTTTGAATAATACTTGTTATAAAGATAGTAGTATGGTACTCTCTGTCACGAATTATTATGTATACTGTTGTATCACATTCATTTTCTATTCTGTTTTAGAATTGGCTTTCACCGTGTGAATGCGGCCAACAATAAACACAATTACAATAATGATGAGGATTATTATTATCATCATCATAATTATTATTATTATTAATATTGTAATTGTTATCATTATTATTATTACTATTATTATCATCATTATGACTTATTAAGTAAGCAAATATCATTCCCAAAAACCTGGGGGGGGGGATGATTGTACATGCCATCCCCCCCCCCCCCCACCTTGTGAGGTGGGGGGATGCATCCCCCTCATCCCCCCCGTTGTCTACGCCCCTGCTCACACCCTCTCTCTCTCTATATGTGCATAAAGAAAATATGAACATAATATTTTGCTTTGATTAAGAAAAATTTAAACATTTTATCAGTATAAAACAGGGAAAAGAAGCGGAGAGGAAATTAATAAAAACGAACATTTAAGATACCTGCTCCATGTTTATTCGTGATGGATACGAAAGCAGGTATGTTACAAATGTGAAATAATTTATTTTAGAACGATGATAAATCAATTATTTGACGTTGATTGATTCGTTCATTTTACATGAATGCGGTGACTTGTCGGTAAAGACCGGCAGGCTGTGGTATCTACTCAATCTATCAAACGATACGAAATCTAGCTGTAGTTAAAACACAGACAAGAAAGTAAATAAAGCAGGTAGATGCCAGAATGATGACGATGACAATGATTACAAGTTTAAATAAAAAAGAATCAAACAATGTGTTCTGAGGTCATAATTATTGCAATTTCAGGCAGTTTTATCCACCAGCGTGTTATTGAACAATATGTTCAATAAAAAAATGTTTGTAAAAGGTAGTAGTATTAGTAATAGTAGTAGTAATAGCAGTGTTTCTTTGTAATGACAGCAGCCATACCTCATCTTTTGCTGGCAAACTTTAATTCATGGGCTAGAGAGTGAGAGTGAGAGCACATTTCCTAAAAACTTTTCTTACTGGAAAAGAGGGAAAGAAAAAGGAAAGAAATAAATACTGAATAAAATCCCCTAAATACCACGAAAGCATTGTGAAGACTGCACCTACAGCTGTTCTGTTCAAGAGAAGAGGTTGGCAAAATTGTATTTGTTTGCTTAGCTCACTTAATTTTGATTGATTATTGCTGGTTGCTATAATTGATAATAATCTGATCAAAATAAAAATCTTTAAAATTCACACATAAAGAATTGATAGGAAAGTATAGAGCGTATAATCCTTTGCCATAAAAGAAAACTGAATATAATTGAAAAGATGTGGATATGCCCTCTTAGTTTTGTGGTCGGAGAAAAATGTTCCAACAGTTGGGAAGCCAGTTGCTGGTTAATACCAGACACCAAGGTGGAGCTCTATACGGAACGGGGACAAGGGGGTTCAGTGCCCCCATACAAACATACTCACACACCTTTTTAAGTTCACTAAAAGTGCCACTATTTATGTAAGAAAAGTGGCCCCCTCTTTCTTTCTGATAAGCACCTTTCCTTTTTCTTTTCTTAAAAAAAAATATATAGTGCCTATTGTTCCCCATTTTTTAAGTGACCCTTTACACCTTCAATAATATGAGTGCCCCTTTTATTTTGACAATCGCCCCTTTTCCAGTTTATTGAGAGCCCCTTCCCCTTCCAATAAGAGCCTTACTTTTTTCTAAAGTTAAGTTTCCCTTTTCGAATGTGATGCCTGTCCATTTTCAAATTTGTTCATCTCATTTGTATTATGGCCCCTCTTGTTTTGTTTTGCAAGTGTGACTTTTCCTTTTTAATACGTGCACTATGAATAATGTGCCCTTTTACCTATATTTTTCATTGTCGCATACAAAATATGCCCTGTTACAAAACTTGCAGTCATCTATAAGAGCCATCATTATTAATTCAAAACTGAAACAGCAATTTGTAGTCATGGGTACCTCAACGATTGCTGCCATTTCAATCTAAGACAGGGGAGCTGAGGATATGAGACACACTGTCCTAAATTTAAAAGGAACTAACCTAGCTAGTGCCCTTATATACATGCGCATCTTCCAATCGGTTTGTATCCTTTAAACCCCATACACTTTCGAGCTCCATAGATAGCCATAGAATACAAATTATAATGTTATCATGATTAAAATTCTCAGGTATTGAAAACTCCCTGACCAATTTCTGTATCATTTCTGTTTATTTATGGACCGAGTATATAGATCAGTGGCGGATCCAGGGGGGGGGGGGGGGCCTGGGGAAAAAAACGTGTAAGACACGTTAATTTTACCTTTCTTTGGAGATGGGCCCCTCCCCTGGCGTTCAAGAAGGGGGGGGGGTGCGATTTTTCATTTTTTTGAGGGCCAAAAAAAAATAGTGCTCACTACCCCCCCCCCCCCCCCCCCCCCCCCCACTGAGCGGCTATTTCGCCCCTAAATATTTTTATTCACGAATTTGGCCCCTCCCTGCCGCCGGCTGGATCCACCCCTGATATAGATCATCAATCTATTCGAAGAACTTAAAATCGGTAACCTCAAAATCGAGTACACTGTATTTTCTTCAAACACTGCAAACGATATGCCAATATTGTCTGTGTTAATATGACCTCATTGATTCACTTGGCTAATTAAGCAATTGTTTTTAATATATTTTAGCATCTTTTGCACCACAACATCGTCAGATATGGCATTTTAGGTGCAACTTTTTGATAAGGTGGGGGTGAGGCAGGTGGAAGGTAACAAAGAAACGGGGAGGAGCCTGAAAATCATTTCAAAGTTAGAAAAGAGAGATGTTTTTTTTCCAGAATTCTAAACATCCAAAAGGGCGAAACGATCCCCTTCATGCCCCTCCCCCTCCAAAAAAAAAAGAAGAAAAAATTATTATAAGACCATGTACACTAGAGGGCGATATATCACTATTTCTTCTAAATTACTCAATCACGATCACACGTTTCTGTATAAATTGCAAGCACACAAATTTACACGTGTGGGACCACCAGAAGTTTCTAAATCAGCAACATGGAGGGAGGTGATCATCATGAGGAGGTACCCCAAGCGATTGTCCCGCCAGAAATCACTGAAAAACAACCATCCGAAGTTGAAGAAAAGCATGAAGAATCACTAGCAGCACTGACTGATTCAATTTTAGACGATGATCTCGTAGTTATTCCGAGTCAAACAGAAGTCCAACAGCAGGAGTCGGCGGCAGCTGAACAGCTAGACACCGAACAGCCAGATACCGTCGTTCCATCGGAGCCCTCTCCTCCCGCGGAGCCTGAGCCTCAGGCGGCGATTCCTGAAAGCGAACCGTCACAACCTGCACCTGAATCTGAACTTAAACTTGAACCTCAACCTGAAAGCGAACCTCAATCTAAACCTCAACCTCAACCCGAACTTCAACCCGAACCTGCGCCTGCCCCTGCCCCTCAACATAAACCTCAACCTGAACCTACCCAAAGCCAAAGTCAGTCTGTCGACTCTGTCCCTCCAGCTCCACCACAGCCAAATCCAGAGCCAAGCATCAAGCTCGCTCGTCCAGCTTCAGCTACAGTTAGAACAGCATCAAAAGCAATCAAAGGGCCCATGGATATGGCTGTAGTTGAAGAAGATGATGATGTAAGCAGAATAACGTTGAATTTTTGTTCTTTAAACTATTTTTTGTAGTTGACGTGAGCATGGTGAGCTGAGCTCTGTTAAAAAATTAAAGAATAAACAAGTATGCAAGTGGCGAAGTGCTAATTTATTCTAATTTATTCTAATATCCAGCATTTCATGATCCAAAACAAACGCACTTTTTTAACTGTTCAAATTGTTTTTTAAGTCACATGTTTAGATACCGGGTAGACCCCTACTAATTATTTTTTAGCTTTGTTGCTGAACATGTTGTTGATTTATTGATCAATTAGAACTTATTTATTCAGTGGATAAATTCAAAATTGTGCTTAACATACGTGTAGCAAATATGAAGCCTCAAATTCATTGACAGTATTTCAATAAATTATTTTGTGCTACATTCTTACATTCGTGATTTATTTATCAAGCTTATGACAGTAAACTGTTAATTGTACAATATTAATCTTTTGCTTGTATTGCATACAGGATATTGAAGATGAGACATTGACGGAAAGACTGGTCGGCCTCACCGAGATGTTTCCGCAGACGTTGTGTACGGTCGCAGGCGTGACATTCAGTCTGTCGGTCAGCAGTATGAAGAAGCTTTTCAATTTCAGCCGGAGCGCCCTCTGGATCGGCAGTACATCGTTCATGCTCCTCATCTTGCCGATCATCTTCGAGACGGAGATGGTGCACATGGAACAGGCCCAGATTCAGAGACAGAAGCAGGTATGGGGGTCTTGCTTTATCCATCAAAAAGTACTTAATGCAGGGATCGATTCCAAGGCAATGGCTTAGGAAACCCCTCATTTTTTTGCACACACATACTTTTGGCAGACATACATACATACATTAGCTCAAGCCCCCAGTGAATATCATGACATGTGAAAGCCTTGTTATTGTTATTTTTTTCTTATACACCTGTAGCGTACATGTAAGTAGCCTGTACGCAAAAGTCTGAAATACCATAAACATGAACACACCGTTTTATCTTTACAAATAGAATGATTTGATAGTTATTTATTGAGCAATTATTCATTAGGTACTGTAGGGTTGTTGTTTCATCAAAATTTTTGTTTAGTTTTAAAGTACTGGTTGAAGCTGATATTCAAAAGCAAACTATTTGTTTTCTTTATTAAAAAAAATATATAAGGGTTGAAAATCTGTAACTGTTTATTCCTTTCTTTTGTGTTCATTCAACAGATATTACTTGGACCTAATGCTGCCTCAGCCGGCGGGATGACGGGAGGTCTAACGCCCCCTATACCGGGGGTCTCGGTGGCTGCACCCCCTCCTGGAGCCAGATAGTCTCTACTATGCAGACAGGTTTTAGAATAGTAGTGACCTAAAGTATTCTTTTTATATCTCCACGTTTTCTCTGATTATCCATACAAATCTCTCATTTAATAATGACTAATGGAGGTTTTCTAGGTAAATGAAATCAACAAAAAAAAGGAATAAGAAATCAATAAATTTTGAGAATTATTCCTAACGTCACTTTTCTTTCTACAAGATGTTTAGCCAGTGTTTATGCAGATTACAAGCTTATGAACACTGTATGAATGATTGACATGTTTTCTAACAGATTCCCAATTGAGGCTTCCCTGGGTAATCAAAATTAGTATTAATAAGATATTTCTCTTAGCCCCCCCCCCCCTTCTTAATTGGCAGAATTAACAGTTACTAGTTCACCCATTGAATACCTGTACTGAATTCTTGGATTCCGATGAGCTTTTGTCTAGGAGTTAACAGATGCGAGAGAATTGTGCAGTAGATATACATGTATCAGTATTTAATAGATTTTTGTGGGATAATTAATTTGTAAATTCGAATGTAACAACTTACATAAATTGATGTAAATTTTAATGCAGTGATACTTGTGGATGTGTGTCCACGTAAGAAGAGGAGGAAAAGTTCCTCACACCAAATCTAGGAACAAGGTTTGCCATTGATATTATGAATATCAATCCCATAGCAATAATATGAACCATTTGTTTGCACTTGTTTTCCTTATTACTTTGAGAGTGAAGAATTGGGTAGGATGTTGCAAGAAACAATTTTAATGTTCTTTAGTAACATGCCAGTTGCAACAGTGCTGTATTGAATGGTACTTTATAGACTAAAGATGACCTGCTATTTACTAGTACATACATATTACATTTGTTTGTGTTTATACCCATTTTATGTGAAAAGTATAATTGTGGCATGACATGATGTTACTAAATATATGAACACTTTATTGTGGACATTTGATTTAATGGAAATCGTCCGATTGTGTTTGTGTTGCCAGTTGCCTTTAGCAGTTTCTGAAGATTAATATCAAGAAAGGGGAGGAAGATAAAGAGACGACAAGAGAAAATGTACTTGGATGTGTATGTGTATGATTGAGAAGCAATCGATGGTGGAGAGTGGAAAAAGCTGAAGAGAAACAAGTAGGTAGATACAGTACATATAGAAATATTACATGTGCAGGAACATCAAGAGGACTTTGTGAACATTTATGTGGTGGACATTAGGAAGGGAGATAGAGGAGATAAAGTAAGGGAGATAATAATAATAATAATACTCAGTTCTTTTATAGCGCATAACACATTACAGGATAGCATTACAGGGAGATGTTTGATGCAAAGAGGGAGGAGTGACAGGACCATACTGAATTACACGGAGGTGGCTACAGAATGAGTGAATGAATGATTCTGACGAGATCAATGTAAAGAAATCGGAGTAAGACTTGGAGAAAGAAATAGGTGATTATAGGTCATGTACATGGAGGGATAGAAGATGGATGGACACTTAGAAGGCTTGGTCTTAAACAGAATGAAGATAAGGAGAGACAAAAGGGATCGTAGTCGGGGAATGGTAGAGAGAATGACAAAGAAATGGATAGATATTGTGAGGGAGAGAAGAGAATATCTGGGTGAAGATGATGAATGAAATAGGTGACAGATGAGGAGGAAAAGATGAGGGGGAAAAAATGGGTGAAAGATGTGGGAAAAGAAATGGGTGAAAGATGTGGGAAAAAAACAAGTACATGTACTTGAATGTACAAATGGATGGATGACGAATATAGATGTCTCTCCTCTCTTGAGATGAAAAAAGATATAAGACGAAAGTTGTTTTTTCCAACAATTGAATTTATACTAGGTCTAGGACAGGTTAAAACCCTTTCATTGCCATACATACTTAGTTGAAATGACCTAATCTGGTTCTAACATCCTCTGTATGTATTTTGGAGCAAAAGCTTGTCTTTTATCTTGATATTCAACATTAGAAAGTTACACAGGGCATGTAATCTACAAGGCACTTAAAATTGTCTCATGAATTGTTATTTTCGATCCTCATTTCTCTAATCTTATTAAACATTGCTCAGTAAAAGTTGCCATTCATTCAAAAGTATTTTTTTTTTTGCATTTTTTTTTTGGTTTTCATTGAGGCAATTGACCACATGATATCTGAATAACCCTCATGAAGCATTAAAGGGATCGTTTAACAATGTTAAATCTGAGATACACGGTCCTACGTGTTACCATTGTCTGTGATATGATGTAATATTGAAGCCCTAAAAAAATCGCGCTTCAAAATGATCAAGAAGTGCCTCAAAAAAGAAAAAATCTTTGAGTGACCGGTTTTACCATACTCGTCTTCCCCAATAGACTGTAGTGTTATGAAAACCGTTCGGCAAACGGTTTTCAAAATTTGTAATTCCAATCATAAATATCTTGATAATCAGACAGGCGATCGGCTTGTAAAAGTCATGGAGTTCCTGACTGACCTAAAGCTTCATAACTATCATTGCAGCATGAGCTAAATCAAGGATTTTTTCTAAAGGATCTAAGACAAAGTTACCGGATCCCTTTAAAGGAATTGTTTAACAATGTTAAATCTGAGGTGCATGGCCTGACGTGTCATCAGTGTCTGTGATATGGTGTCATATTGAAGCCCTAAAAAAATTGCGCTTCAAAACGATCAAGAAGTGCCTCAAAAAAGTAAACAAATCTTTGAGTGACAGGTTTTACCATGCATACTCAATTTCCCCATTAGACTGTAGTGTTATGAAACCCGTAAGGAAAACGAATACCAAGTGCACTTTCCACTCTTCTTATCACACATTACTAATACAGGTGTATCACTTTTCATATTCACTATCACTATTCTGCTTTAAGATTTCTCTGTATTCCCAATCACATTATATATCACCTCTTTGATGGTTAATAGTTATACTCCAATATATAATTTCAAAGCTCAATCTAATCTGAATGCAAAATACATGTATGAATAAATCTAGTTACCACACATTTATGACAAATAATCTGCATATTTGAAGCTATTATATGCATTTACAGTGGACAGTTTACTATCCTTTCTTGTGTATTTTACAGAATCCATTAAACAGGTAATAATCTGTTCCCTCTGACACAAACACCTCCTTTTTCTCTTATCTACAATAACTGTTCATCAGACTCAGATTATTTTGGGGAAAATTTATTTTGTTTGTATACATTTCATTTCATTTTTTAAATAATCACAAATTCACAATACATGTACATGTAGTACATGTATATCAAACATCTTCAACATAAAAAAGACGAAAAAATCTATACAAGTGTGGAAAGTCACAAGCTTCCTGTACTCCAGATTACATGTAGCTTCCACTTCACTGTGAAAAAAGTACAATTTTCTTGAATCAAATCATATTCCAAATAACACTCATCCATAGCAAGCAAGAGACCCTATGCTAAAACAGCCTAACAAAAGGGAAAATGATAAATGCATAGGAGAATGAATTACTCTATGGATGACATGTAAATTTGTATTACATGTATCTCTATCTCTATCTAATCTAACAACACACTATCAACACTGCTACAATGGCCAGCTGGTCAAGCAGAAAATGGTTGGTCAAATAAAAATAACAGATATCCTCTCCAATGTATCAAATTTGCATTTCTTTTCTTATTTAAAATCTTTATATATCAATTTGAAATCCAACTACCACATAAGTCTGTGAATATTGATGTGCATCCCCTTTTTCTTTTCTCTTCTTTTTTCTGTCTTTTCCCCCTTTTTACCAATATTTTGTTCTTCCATATTTGTATTATTATGTATCCTTTGAGGGTAGTCATACTATCAAGCTTTGCTTATTTTGTCAACCCTCCTGTTTGATGTTCTCGATTAGTTACACCCAGCCTTACCTTATTCTACATATATTCTTTTGTCATGTGTAAATTTGCAATATTTGTTTGTTATATACTTGTAAAAATGCAAAAGAAAAAGAAAATCAAACAGAAATAAATAAATCAAATCAAATCAAATCAAATATACTCAACTCGTCCCTGCATGCTGTGTGAAGAGCAACAATAAGTACGGTATGGATAACATGTACATGTACAAGGTTCATAAATCAAGATTTGATTACACATTTTGTTTGGGACCAGCCCAAAGTTCTCAAGCACCAGGAGAAAAGCTGTCACTGAAACTAAGAAACTTTAAAAAGAGAGGGAAATTACAATACAGGCATATGCCAGTATACGAAGGGATAATTTCAATTTCAATGTAAATACATGTATGTAGACAATTTTCAGGTGAAAATAGCACAACCATTCCCTAAACTGTCATCAGTTCTCATTATTTGGTGGTTGGGAGTACTTGGGCTGATTCACTTCCACAACATATGCTCAAAGGCTTCATTATTATTCTTTAGTTCATCCTTTCTTTAAAAAATGTTTGTGGGGGGGGGGGGGGGCGGTACTCTACCCCTTCCAATCCTCCCTCCTAAAAATGCTTATGAAATGTCTAGGATTACAGATTCAGGAAACATCATCTCTTCAACCGCTAGCAATAACAATTCAAAGTGTCTTGTAACTCTCATCTACTAAGCCTTTAGCTCATTATTTTTTTTGTGATATGAGGACTGTCCAGATACTCAAATGTCTTGCTTCTTGATGCATTTCAAGGGTATTTGATGCAGGCACGAAATGTCCAGCATTAAAGATCTTAGGTCTTAGGCTTTTTTTCTGACTCGACTCTTCCCGGTCCTTTGTCTTCATGGATACCATGCGGGGTTTGATGCATGCATGCATGTAGAATGTTCAGCATTACACTCAGATTGAAAGAGTTCTGTCGTCATCATCTCTTGTGGCTCTTGCTCTTCTTCTTTGAACTCGAGGAGTGTCCATACTCTCCTAGGTCCTTCTCCATTAAGTGCTTCTCTGCTGTGGTTTCAGCCAACTGATGGGAGGAACAGAAAGAGAGCGATGGAGAGAGTGAGAGGCAGAATGTTGGGGATGACATGAACAGAGATGAAGCAAAAAAAGTACAGAAGAGGCACTAATGTCCCTCGGCAAGACATTAATCTACATTTGTCACTCTCCACCCAGGTGTTAAATGGGTACCCGGAAGGATGCGAAAGTTAATGTGGTTAGATGAGCAAGTGTGCGTTTAAATGACGCCTGGCTGGAATGCTCCCCAGGGAGTGGAGAAATGTGCATAAATTGATTAAGAGAGCATATAGCTCTCATTTAATTCTTCCAATATGTACAATTAAAAAACGAATAAGTTATACAGCATGTCATGTCTAATTTCACGTTGAGAGAGTAAAACATACATATAAATACAAAGAAATGAAAGAAAAGGGTATCCTGATTGTGTACGGGCAAGCCTGAATCCGATGGCCGGGGTAATTACCTGTAAAGCGCTTAGAGACATCATCAATATATTAAGTGCTATATAAAAGCGAATATTATTATTACTATTATCTCCTGTGAGATTTTTGTCAGTCCTATGGATTGGTGCAGATCTTCATTCTTCTTTCTATCATGTACAGAGTACTGGCACTTCCATCTAATCATTCTCATCTCAGCCTGTTCAATGCACTGTACATAGAGGTAACATACTATTGACCACTAACCATGTCTAGTAGAAGTTCAATCTTGAGTTTGAGTAGATTGTTTTCTTCAGCCAATGATTTGTTCTGCTTTCTCACTTTGATGAAATCCCTCTGACTGACCCCTCCAGCATTGCCAGATTCTATTAAGAGAAGAGGTTAGATCAAGAACACTCAATTAACAGAAGAAATAACACTAACAATTACCGGTAGCATATATTATTTGCCAAGAGCTTTGTAGATGAGGTTAATCCATATACACTCTTACACAAAAGTAACACCCTTCCGACTTGATTAATACCAGTAGGCAAACCGAGTGCCAGAGTTTTAGACTTCAAGTGAGCACTACTAGAAAATTTAGAGACAAAGAAATCTGAAGACAAGAGCTAGAGCAATATAACAATTTGATGTCAGATTAAGACATGCTGTAATTTTAATTCAAAAGAAGAAGGGGAAAATGAGGAAGAAGGAGAAGAGGAAGAAGAAGAAGAGGAGAAACCTGCTGAATTCACCTGCAATCCACACCCCATTGTCTTCATCAAACTTGAGTTCTTGACCCCCGAGCTTGACTTTTGGTTGCCCATAGGTCATTCCGTACTCCTCATCTCTGATCGAACTCTCTAAGCGATTCAGGTTGTTGAGGGAGGCTGACCTTCTAGGTGGGGTCTTCTTGGTGTTGAACTTATTCCCAAGAAGAGGCATGGTTGTGTGGAGGTCAACTTCAGAATGGAATTGGAAGCAACTGGAGCAGAAAAAATGAAATATGAAAATGACAATGCTATCATGTTATAAAGAAACTGGTAAGGTCATTTGAATTTAAAACAGCATGCGTAAAGATTTTCATACCAATTCATGTTTGTTAAACTTATTCTTCCTGTGAAAAAAGGAAGAGGGGAAGAGGAAGAAAAAGAAGAAGGAGGAAGAGGAAGAGGAAGAAAAAGAAGAAGGAGGAAGTAAAAGAAAAAGAAGAAGAAGGAGGAGGAAAAAAAAGAGGAGGAGCAGGCACGCTGGCTCAGTGTTATAGCAGTGGTCTCGTAGAAAAAGAACAACAACAACAAAAGGAAGAAGAACAACAAGAAGAAATTTGAGAGGAAGGAGAAGAAGAAAAAGAAGAAGAAAAAGAAGAAGAAAATGAAGAAGAAGAAGAAGAAGAAGAAGAAGAAGAAGAAGAAGGAGAAGAAGAAGAAGGAGAAGGAATAGGAGAAGGAGAAGGAAAAGAAGAAGAAGAAGAGGAAGCAGAAAAAAAAGGAAGACAAAATAATTAGAGAGATATGGCATATGGGATCCGGGCTAACTCGGACCAGGGGACAACTCTGCTCGGCCCAGCTGCAAAAACGGTAATTTTTTGTCATTTTACCATAACTCTAACCCTAACTCTTACCCTAACCCTAACCCTAAACCTAAACATGCAAAAACTGACCATTTTTGTACCTGGGCCGAGTTGTCCCCTGGTCCGAGTTAGCCGACTCCGGCATATGCACCATTAATTCTGCCATTTTCTCGTCAATAAAAAGTTTCTAATTATATTTTTTCTATCTCAGCTCCCTTTTCTAGTACATATACATATCCTTGAAAGGCACATATATTTGTCAAGCTTTTCCACTTTTGACTTCATGTCATTCACCATTTTTAATTCCGCCCCAAAAAGCTACAACCAAAATCTACAATCTACATTGCATCGCAACATACACAGCATAATGGCAAACGTATGGGACTGCATTGAGCAAAAAATACAAATTATTTTGTTTGCTTTGACCTCCAATAGTATCAATGACACATACACCATTCCAGATTTACCTCACATCTCACTATACAAAAAAATCACACGCATTTACACCAATTTAATGATAGATTAACATACAAATGCGGATAAATCTTACCGTATATTTAACTCCAAAAGTCGAAGTCCAAATTCGTTTATTGTTTCTTTGGATGCGGAATTTTTGACAATTGAGGGCGCAAACACAAACATTGAACTCAGTCAGTGATTACATAATTTCTTTCATTCGATTTGCCTCTACTGTTTGTGTGTAAGACCGCACCTGCCAAGGGATAGGGATCAGCATGGATTATCAATACCCTTTAACACGGTAGAAATAGGGGCGCTCCAACCAGTATCAGAGGTCGGGAGATTTGAACAAAAGATTGAAATATTATTAAGATTTAAAATACTTATAAGAAATTGTTTTCAGGTGACAACAAGCTATTGAAAATTTTCGATTTGATGTATAGGCGAACATAAAAAAAAAAAACAAGACCAAAACCAAAATAAGTAGCAAAAGCAAATTAAGATGCAAAAGTAAAATCAAAAGCAAAAACACCCCCCTCCCCCCCCCCCAAAAAAAAAAGCCTGTAAACAAGAAAGAAAGGAAAACAAGAAAAACAGAGCACACAAAAATTGAGTAAAATCAGATAACAAATAGGGAAGTTATGAATTTTTTTAGAGTATGAAAATAACTAGGCCTTCACAAATTGGCAATTCGGTTATCAGTTTGTGACGTCATTGCCTCACTATTTATCAATTGCTTTAAATGTTGTTATCCCATTAATTTCCCTTTTTAACCCCGGGCCCAAAACTTGATTTCCTCATGCTTATGCCCAGGTTATATGATTTGTATCATAATTGCGTGCATATTATTTCACAAAATCTTTTATGAACTTTGAAGAATTAATACTATTTTCTGAATATTTTATATTCATAATCATTGATTTTGATATGAATAGTTTACAAAAATTCACATTTTTCATGCTTTAACTTAATAAAATTAGTCCTCATTAGCGCATCCACACAAATTCTATATACTATCAATATAACTTGAATGCTGGTGTGAGGAAATAAGATGTAAGGGGGAAATTCGAAATTTTAAATATCAATATAAAGAAAACAATTGGTGGATAGTGAGGCAGTGACGTTACAGACTCATGAGAGAGTTACCAATTAGTTTTTTGATTTTCAAAGTTTTTCATGCCATTAAAAATTCATAACTTGCTTATTAGTTATCCGATTTTGCTCAAACCTTTTTTGATTGTTTTTTTTCTGATTTTGCTGCTTCTGTTGAAAGTATATATTATGTTTGGAATGAAATGTCCTTTAATTACTGATTTTGGTCCTAAAACCGTTGGTCTCTGAAGAGCATCCATTATTATTATTATTATTATTATATTTAGGAAGGGGGAGGGCGGGGGGGGGGGGGGGGGGGGCTTCAGCCCCCAAAGCGCACTCTTCCCCTTGAAATGATAGTGTTACACCTGGGTGGAGAGTGACAAATATGAAAGAATGTCTTTCCAATGGATGGGATTCGAACCCGAGTCACACTTGGATTGAGAGTCAAGGAAATACACCACTATACCACTGAACTAAACATGTTTGACTCCCCAAGTCTTGAGGTACCCATTAGCAGACGCCCATGAAACTGAGTCCCACTGGCGTATTGATGGGAGGGAGGAGGGGGGGGGGGAGCTTGGGTGGGGGAGGGGGAGTTGGTGAAATGCCCTGATTTCCCGGGGTTTTTTTTCTCTCCCCCCCCCCCAAGGTTTTGCTCATTACGCCACTGCTACGATGACAATAACGTTCGTATCCTACCAAGTCCGGATAACAAGTCTCCCCATGTAACTTGCTTTAATGTCATGCTAGGAATCGAACCCACTCTGGTACCTCCAGTCAAGAGTTACTTGACTACAACAGCTCTAAGGTGTTGGTGTCTTATATTATTGGTAGGCGTTAATAATTGCTAAATAATGCCCCGTCGCATGGTGCACACGTAGATGATGCGTGTAAAATCCATCATAAAAAATAACGGAAAGAAGTAAATGAAGAGCCGTGAATGCTGGCCTCGTGTTGGAGCTTGACGGTCGGCTGAGAAAATAGGGGAAGGGGGAAGGGAGAAAGGGTGTGGCATACACATCATGAGAGAGAAAGAGAGAGAGAGAGACACACACACACACACACACACACACACACACACACACACGCATACATACACAGGGAGAGAGAGAGAGAGAAAGAGAGAGAGAAAGATAGAGAGAGAGAGGGGGAGGGGGGGGCAGATGATTATATATGATTCGACCCTCAATATGCTGATTATTAGACCCCTTTCTGACAATCATTGCACGGGATAGAGAGAGCGATCGAAACTTCTTTTATGATTGTCAACAATATTAAAATCATATAAAAAAAGGCATTCCCGTAGTTTTCTAGATAGCACGGTTATCGTAGTCGAATGGTTTCGTGGGTTAAATTCCTGCCACGGCAACTCAGCAGGACGTTTTATGTTTTAAAAAATTGCTTTAAAAAAAAGATTATATCGTTTTTAATTGTTTTCGTTCTCGTTGGCTTACTTTCAGCTAATCAGAAAAATAAAGGCATTCTTATTAATTTGAGTTGACAGATACTACAATCAAGCATGCTTGGCGTATAAGTCATGGTCATAATTATGATAGCCGATTGATCCATCCTGGATTTAGGGACAATCGGGGGCCCATCTGCTCGGGCGTTTGGCCGGCTGGGGGATAGGGACCAAAATGGTATAAATAGGAGAGTTTAGACCAACATTGGACAGACTCAACCATCGAAGCAATCGACTCCTAGTACCTCTCTTCGTAACTTCAGATCATCAGATCATCACGAAATCAGGTAAGCATCATTATCTTTTAGTTTGATTAAAGAAGAAGAAAAACAAAATCAGAATTATGCAGTCGTTCTAAAAAGGCAACAAGCATACATCCTACGGGAACCTAATGTTCTGCAAGTATCAAAGGTTCCATAAACAATGCAAAGGGGTTTAATTTATGGTATAATGTTTTTTAAAATAGATACTTAGTGTGGAGGAGTGGCTCAAGGTGCACTGCGGCGACTGCGCTGTCTACTTTCTCGAGATTTTTTATATCGCAAAGTTTGGATAGTGGTTTTGTGGTGGCTATTTTACCTGACTGCGAAAAAAGCATTAACTGCCTGTTATTAAGCAACCAGAGGACCGGTGGCTTTAGGTCCTCTCTGACGCACCTGGTATTAAGGATTATAATGAGGGCACTTGCGCATCGATTTGGTTTCATCGAATATTATTTAGGTCCATTTCATAAAAAGGTATTCAGCATTGGGTTTGGGTTCAATGCATGTTGTTTTCCATCATCATTTCCCCCTCCCCTCTCTTTTATCTAGATGTATGTGCACGATTTCGTGCATCTATGGCATTTATTGTAAATTTAAGAAGAAGTGAACCTTTGATATCTATTTCAAGTCTGAATATAATTATGTTTATATCGAAAAACATTAAACGTGTTTTTCTGTTATTATTCTAACCCTACAGACACTACCCTCATAATGCAAACGAGTGGAAATCCATGTCATATTCGTCATATTCTTAGGGAGTCTTCATTCGTAGTTGAATCCAATCTAAAGCATAGTGGTTGACTTACGGAGACTGCATTTTGATATCTTTGAGCGTGTATAATTTTGTAATAAAAAAAGGAGCGATCTCTAACATGACTCCCCCAAAATGGGTTTCCACTCCTGTCTATTTATAAAGTAATTTGATAATATGCCCCATTGAAAATAATTTCATTATCCACAAACTCTCTCCTGGTAGAATGAAGGTCTTCATTTTCGCCATCGCCGTCTTCGTCCTTGTCGCCTCCGTGGTCGCCACACCCGAGGAGTTCGACAACCTGGAGGAGATCGTCTACGGATCCGAGCCTATGGTCAAGCGAGGTCGATTCGTCTGTAAGTAGAAAACCACCTTGCTATTTGGCATCTTGTGGAGGTGTCGTGGTATAGTGGTTCTTTCACTTGACTCCCATCTCAATCTAGGGGTTGAGGGTTCGAAACCCAGCCCGGCACCAACGTAATTTAAAAAGCCATTAATCCACATTTGCCACTCTCCACCCAGGTGTATTAATAAATGGCTACCTGGCAATTGCTGAGGTAATAATTGCAGGGCCTTCAGAAAGAACAGCATGAAAGTTAATAAGGTTTCACTGTGTGTTTTTAATGTTTCAATCAGATAAAACAAAATGTGTTTCCCCATTCATTTCTAGTTATTCATATTTCACATGCCCCCTCCTGCCACCTGTATAGCTATGGGCAGCTGATTTTGTTTAATCTGTACTAAATATATCTTAATAAGTCGTATAAGTATTCCAACTTCATTTTTTCGAATGCGATTTTCGATTCAACTTTTACATTGAGTTATCATTTAATCTCATCGCTGCTTTGTATACAGGCATTGTCAGTTCTCATTCTTGGGGAATATACCATGGATTTGATGTATTGCCTTTGCTGTACATGAATTTTCATAGTTCGCTCTTATTTAAGCTAAGTCTTCAATCCTACTGTAAACCGGATTGGGTGGGGAGGTGGGGGGGGGGGGGGTTTACGAACACTTTTCAAAATCTGAGCTGTTACAAAAATGTCTACTGTTTATCGCTACAGTATGCTTTTTTGGTTGGTTGTTGGCTGTTATTTTTTTACCTGACTGCTAAGAAAGCATAAATGCTTGTAAGTAAGCAACCAGAAGGCCGACGGCTTTAGGTCGTCTCCGAGGGACCTGGTAATGAGGATTAATGCCTTACCAAAGGGCACTAGCGCATCGACTTGGTTTCGAACCCGGGTCACCGGATTACGAGACCACTGCTCTACCGACTGAGCAATCGCGCCTCCTCTATTGTTTTTGTCAATCACCACATCATTGAAATGAAAAATGAAGAATGAAGAAAAACAATTAACTGACCTTTACCTCATTCAGTCTGTGCTGGCTGGTCCCCAATGAGGGAAAGAGAGAGAGAGAGAGAGAGAGAGAGAGAGCTAACTGACTTTGCAATTCTTTTTCTATTTGAAAAAATGAATAATAAACTGAACAAAACGAAAAAGAAAGATCTAATGGATTCGTAACATTTTGTAAAATGTGAAACAATAAACTGAACTGGAATCTAAAATTGTTCTGGTTTTTGTTTTTTTAATTTCCCA